CCTAAAGTCCAGGGCCTCTTCCTTACAAATTCCAACCTAAGTTATTACTTCACAGGGGGGATTGATAGTTTTAAGAATGCTTGATAGAGATCTTGTAGTGCTTGTCTCTATCCGAGGGATTGGAGCAAATGCGGTTATATCTTAGAGCTTGGCTGTAGACAATGGATCGTGTGGTGTGTCCTGGATGGAAGCTGGAGGCATGTAGGTATTTAAATTGTTATTTCTCTCTCTTTCTTTTTTTTCCCCCCAAGCACGTATAGTTGAATTTGCGCAAGTTAAATGCGCGTATGATGCGACCCTTCTGTATGCTGCTTTTCTGCTCCACATCAGATATTGTCTCTGCTGTTAGTTGGCTATTGCTACAAGAACAATATTTGTTGGCATAATTCTGAAAAAGGAATGTTGATCGGAACCTTATAGAGTTACTGTTTGAAAGTGTTACTGAATAATTTTATTTTGGTAACAAACTGCAGAAGCCCTCTATAAACTATGGTACATCTGACCTTTGAAATAAAATTTTAAAGAAGAATAAGAGATAAGCTCAGACAGCCTTTTGAGCACATGGTCAGATTGTTAGTTTTAGCTTGTTTCTTAAACTTTTTTTTGTTTGTTTTTCACTTGTGTGTTTGTGGTGTTGCTGTGTATTGAAATGATCACAATTAGGCTAGTCTTTCTACATGCAGCTTTCCCTTGACTTCAGTGGGCATTATGGAATGGCTGCAAGACTGGCCCTATATTTTGAATCTTCATAGCAGGGGAATAACTTAAAATAAAGATTTACTTTAAATATGATTTTTAAATACACTATTAATTTATTGTATGGTACATGTTCAAGGAAAACCTGTTTTATTTCAGTAGATAGTGGAGGCATTCTGTACAAGCCTGTTGTATGGTGATGGGTTTCCGTTGTTTGTTTCTTTTTTGGCAGAAAACGTGATTTCAGCAAAAATGAATGTTTTCACTGTAAAATGTTGATGGGGGGGGATTTCTATGGTAAAATGGAAAAAATATTTTATATTAGGTTAACAAATTTAAATGTTTCAGTTCGAGAATGTTGAAACATTTTGTTTTGGTTGAAAATGTCAGAAAGAAATTAGACATTCCCAGATCAAGGTTTTTTGTAACTTACTATTTTGTGAAAAGTTTTGGTATTTTGATTCTGTCCAGATTAAAGATGAAAACAGATGTTTAGAATATTAAAATTTCCTATGTATTAGAAATTCCATGTTTCAGTTTTATTAAAATTTTCAACCTGCCTTACCAGGTGGTAAAGATTACACAGTAACTAAAGTTAAATATAAATTGAATGTATTTGAACTGGAAAATCTTTGTATATTTGAAATGTATTCGCCACCATTAAGCAGTTTTTGTATTTTTTGTTGGTTTGTTTTAAAACTTACATAGGTGCATCTAAAGAAGGAGGAGCTGGAGCTGTCGATGAGGATGATTTTATTAAGGCATTTACAGATGTTCCTTCTGTACAGGTAAGACGTAATTTGTGCTCAATTTTATTTTCAGAAGAAATGTCTTATTTTTGTGTGTTTTGATTTGCAATTCTGTGTGTCAACGAGCTTCTTTAATCTTTAATTTTTTTTCTAATTATGCTTTGTTGTCATGAAATGAGCAGCCTTTAGCTGGGTATTGTTAAATTTTCCCCTTCAAATTATTGCCAGTGCCTGCACATACATATTAAAAATGCGTGTTGGCTTCTATTGTATTTTTAGGCTAGAATTAGAAGTTAGCCATAAGATTTGTTCTGCACTGAACTTTGGTATATTGGTCTGCTCTAAGGCATTAATATTATTTCTAATGTAGGCAAAGGACAGTTTGTGCTGAGTGTATTAAAAAACCCAAAATAGTGTTGTTTTTTAACAGCTTTCTTGTGTAATTTGAGTCATGAAGGGTTTGATTTTTTTTTAAAATAAGTTGACAAGAGGTTTGATTCACATTACTAATTTCCTTTCTGTTCTTTGTGAATAGTGGATTAAAATTTACCAAGATATTAACTTTAGGAATTGTTTAATACACTCATACAATGCCTGTGTTTACATATGTTGTTTATTACTTGCATTCAAAATGAACATGTAAACTTTCTGTGTCATGGTCCCTATCATATGAATAGTTACCCTCTTTTTTAAAAAAAACAAAAATATGTATTTTTTTGATACAGCAGCTAATCATGGAAATACTCGCTTTGGAAATAAGTACAAATGTATAACTGAGTCCAGTTTTGTGTCATAATAGGATCGATTCCATCATCATTGCATTGTTCCTGGTAAATAGTGTCAAATTAGTCCTTAAGTTTTCCATTGATGGTTATTTCCCAGCCTCTCTTGGAAACTGTTTGTTTCAACTATTAGTTACTAATTAACCTTTTATTTTATTTTCAGGTTCAAGCCTATTATTATTGTCTTAATCTTTTCCCAGTAACTGCTGAGAGCAGTGACCTTGTTCTCATTGAAGTGTTATTTTACATGTTTAATGCTGATACATGATGTGAATGAAAGACAGACATGATTTTATGGAAAATCTAGGGTTGTAACTTTATTAAATGCTGAACTAGACAAATGGTTTAAAAAGCAAGGCTAATGTTTTCAAAGTTGGGTGCCTAAAATTTAGGATCTGAATCCAGCACATCCAGATAGATTTTCAAAAGTGCTCATTTCTAACAGAACTCTTTTGAAAAGTCTAGCCTCTTACCTGGGTGCCTAAATTAGGGGTGCTGAGTTCTTTTTGATATCTGACCTTTAATTAAGTGCTCTGAATTATCAGAGTGCTGAACTATAGATACTTGGTGCTTCTTGTGGTTGGGCCATCTGTTAAGTACTCTCTCTCTCATTGGAAAAAAATTCCCTTAACCCCCAGCATATAGTAGAACACTAAGAACTCATTGCAGGCTGTGATTACCATAAAGGATCTTCTGTATGACTGATCCACAGTGGTATATAGTGTTCTTTCCATATGACAACACAGCTGTTTGTTAGGTATACTTCTGGGGACATCTATAGGCAAAGGTGCAGCTGTCCGTTTTTGTGAAGGGAATAGTTTATTGCAGGTAGCTCCATAACACCCTGGCCCCACCTTTAAGCAAATCTTTACAGAATTTCAACCCTTATGCTGCAAGTTCCCCTCCCCCCCCCCCCCATTTACATCTTGCTACTGCATGGATGATTTTGAATGCAAATACACCACTCTTTCTTACTAGCATTTATCCCCAGTATGTTGGCAAGGGCCATGCTCTGCAGCACAGGGTGTGGTCAGTCTATATTGGTTCTATAACACTTACAATCCTAGACAGATTCTTCTAATCACTCAAGAGTATCCAAATGGTAAATGTCAGAATCTAATTGAAACAGATCACCCTATATGGGTTGTGCAGGTCGGGATAGCGGTTCATGATTTTAGCATACATGGAAGCACCTCATGGAGCAGGCTATGAGGCTGCATTTGTATCCAGACCAGGAGACCTCCTGTATAGTGGCCTCAGATTGCAAGCAGCGCTGCTCCGAGCATGAGCTCTGGAGTAGACAGACTGTTAAGCCTAGGAAATCCTTGCACAAGAGCAGGCAACGTGACAATAGATATAAGGACGGATCCCTCCCCATCTCAGTCCAAGGGTGAGTCCTTGTGCGCAGCTCCTAGGGAGTTAGGTCTGCATAAACCTGCCATTCAAGAAGGCAAAGTGCGAAGGAAGAAAGATCTGACAGTCCCAGTTTTGGCTCCTTCCCACAAGCCAAAAGGTGGATATTAACCAGACCCATCTGGGAGTTCCACCTTGGTTCTTCATCCAACAGTTCCGACATACTCTGTATGGGATCCTTTGAGTACTAGACCTGGATCTCCCAATCCACTTCTCAGAGGTTCCCCAGACATCAGGGAGGATCAAAACCTGTACCTCATTTGAGGATATTTTCACTCTGTTATAACCACAATATCCTCTTTTGTTGGTCTTGGATCTCCTTGGAGACATCCCTACACCCGAAGAAATCACCTTGAGAGTAAGAGGATCCTCTCCTAATGTGTCCACAACTCATAACATCCTCCCACTGGTATCAGTGTCACCACCAGTAGAGCAGGAGCGTATTATTTCATCAAGAAAATCTGTCGTTCCAGATGATGCTTCCCCCGCCACTCTGAGGAAAACAACGCTAGACAGAACCCACAAGAGGTACTGGATCAATCTGCCTCCTTCAGAATACGGCTACCCAGAGAACCACTTCCCAATAGGGAAGTCTGGCTGGCGACTCTATTTCTATTCCGTCGTCTTTCTTCCTTGGGAACCTGTGTCAATCATGAAAAGTCTACTTTAATACCCACAAGATCCATAGATTTCATAGGAGCGATCTAGACTCGACTACAGCAAGAGTCTGTTTCCCGATTGGGAGACTTGATGCCATGAATAATCTGATAAAGCTGGTCACTGGAGAAATTCAGGCAGGAGTTCCTTTCTTCACACCTTCACCTGAGAAGACTATCGTTACACATGGGGAGCCAAGATGAACAATCGTACTGCACAAGGCACGTGGACTCTTCAGGAGGCCAGGGTGCATATCAATTTACTAGAATTCAGAGCGGTCCACTGGGCCAGCAACACTTTCCTGTCATTCATCCAATCCTGGCCTATCCAAGTAATGTTGGATAATGTGACGACTGTCTTCTACATAAACAAACAAGGGGGAGCAAGCTCCCTCCCTCTGTGTGTAGAGATTGACTATCAGAAGCCACATAACCCTCTCAACAGTATACCTACCATGTGCATGGAATGCACTAACAGTCTCAGTAGGCATTTTTCCACAGGCCACAAATGGGAGATTCATGATTCTGTTCTGAACAAGATCCCCAACCAGTGGGGAACGCCATTTTGGGATCTTTTCATCTCTCAAGAGTACAAGGAACTACTCCTGTATTGGGCTAGAGCAACTCTGGGCTGCAACTCAAAGGACAGACCACCTCAGATACACCTTTCCTCCCATCCCCCTAATATAGCAAACCCTGTGGAAGAACTGCCACAACAGAGCTTGGGTAACCCTCATTGTGCCCAATTGGCCAAGACAGTTCTGGTTCTTGGAACTCCTGAGAATTTCAACCCATCCTCCCATCAACATCTGACCACTTCCAGATCTGCTGACACAACACAATGCTACAAACAGGCACCACAGCCCAGGACCACTACAACTCAAGGCCTGGTATTTGAATAGGGATCAGATGCAGAGCATACATGTTCAGTGGCAGTTCAATCCATTCTTAACCAAAGGAGGAAGGACTCTACCAAGAGAAGCTCTTTGACCAAATGCAAGTGCTTCTTTTCTTGGTTACAACACCAGCCATCTCCAGATCCTCTGGAATCTCTGTTTTTGTAGAATACCTGCTTACCCATAAGACATCAGGCCTCTCTATAGTTCCCTGCAGGTCCACCACAGATAGGCCTTTACCCTTGATATCACTACTATGGTGATAAAAAGCCTAGGTGTCTTTCTAATTGCTTTTGTTCTCTGTAGATAAAAGGCCATCAGACATCTAGGGACTGAAGCCTTCTCTCTGCATCAGAGCATATGGTTCAGGGAAAAATTCCGATAAGTTAATAGTCTGATTCATGTGAAACTTTGAAATGACTAAGAATGAACTTCAGTTGGAGGCAAAAAACAGACTTTATGGAAGATGGTGTATGGTGGGTCTACCATGAGTGCTCCCAGCTTGCTCACCCTCCTGGCTGATGTGATGGTGACTAGGAAGACAACTTTCACTCAGAGATGGGACAAATCAGAAGGACTTCAAAATTAACTTGATTGTATATGAAAGTGGGTGCTTTCAACACATAAATTTTCTTAAGCTTCTAATTTTCCTCCTTGTGAAATCTTCCTTATACATGAACACTGGAATTGACAACAGTAGTTAACAAGTTGATTTTTGTTTTGTCAAGTTGTTGGTTTGTTTGCTGGTCAGTCAAACTTTGTTTTTGTTTTTTCAGGTGAAAAGGTAACCCAAACTGTGAAAATAGAGGCCTTCTTCAAAATGTATTTTTAAAAAATGTAATAAATGTACTAAATGCATTTATTAAAGGAATGTACAAAAGGAACATTGGAAAAAAAACTAATTCTAGCTAAACATCACTTGGATATGTATTCCTCACATAGATGTTACTGAGATTCTTAAAGTATTTTTCAAACAAATTGTTGGTTTTATTTGTGTTGTAGAGTGCCTAGCAATTCAGTCAGGGCTCTATTGAGCTAAGTACTATATACACATAAGAAAAAGAAGTCCCTGCTCCAGTATTATTTCCATAGTAGAACAATTTTATATACATACTGGGAAATTAGATTGAAATTTAATCACAATAACATATTGACCTATTGCCTAAACATTTCACTCACATTGAACTGTAACTGAATCAAAAAATTAAATTACTAAAATTAGTAAATCACTGGGGCTGGTGATTTACTCCCTATAGACTGAGACTGAAATCTTTCCTGAGATAAAATGTTTATCACAAAATCAATGTTACACTTTTATATTTAGAAGGCCTTGAATGACAGTTGTGTATATAAATAAAAATTTGTTCTAAAATGGAAACTCTATTACAATCTGACTATGTGGAATTTTGTCCTTAATGTTTTCAAAATTATAGTTCAATTGTTTTTTAAACGTAAAACAGTTGTTGTCCCTTTCCTAAGGTAAACATGGAAATATTAAGTCTATATATTATTTGTTTTTAAACAGATCTATTCCAGTCGAGAGCTTGAAGAAACATTAAACAAAATCAGGGAAATTCTCTCAGATGATAAACATGACTGGGATCAGCGAGCCAGTGCGGTATGTTTTTTATCCAAACAGATTGTCCAAACGTTGTTCTAAAAAAGCTTTCACAAAATGGTGAAGTATTTACAATTGAGATTAATTCAAGAAATTTTCATATTAGATACACTTTTAAAGATGGAATTGTTTCTCATATTTTTATATGGTGGTGGTGTATCATTACAATATCAGTTTGAAAAAAATTAGAATATATAGAGAAATATATTTCTAACAGTGTTTAAGTGGTAATTTTTCCAAAGGACCTCTTCTGAATCTTAGCGTGTGTATACACAAAATTATGTGCGCGCACACATATGTATGTGCCTTGCAGGTAGCGACACTTGCCTGTAGGCTTTACATATTTTAAAACCTCTGTCTCTGTGCAGTCAGGAGTATTGATAACTAACTGTTTTAATTTTGTTGTAGCTCAAGAAGGTTCGATCGCTGCTTGTTGCTGGAGCTGCACAGTATGACTGCTTTTTCCAGCATCTACGGTTGTTGGATGGAGCTTTTAAATTATCAGCTAAGGATCTCAGATCCCAGGTGGTTAGAGAAGCATGCATTACTGTAGCGTAAGTACTTGCTTGTTTTTTTATGACGTTGGTTTTAAATAGCACTAGATCTAAATAAGGTATATGGCTAGCAATGTCAAGATTTTAAAAAAATACATCTCAGCTGTGCAAATGCACCATCAGTGTTGCAGTTCCTGTGTACCATACCTGGTTGGAGGGTGAAGTCAGGATTTGAAGCTGTAGAACAATGCGTATAATCTAAGGCAGCACTCTTCATTGTAATTGCGAGTATCTTCCATGATGTAGAAGATATGTTATACCTTGGCTGAATAAGACATCAGCTTGAAAAGAGAGCGTTTGTATAAAAGAGCAGGGGAATATTTTAGTAAGTGAAATATTTTTACACTTAGTAGTTTACTGAAGCTGTTCTGAAAAGGTATATGAATATATTGTGAATTAAGCATAGAAATAGTCCTGTTAGATTTTCATTTGAATTGTCTATTGAGAATAATTCAAGTGCTTTATAGTTGGATAATGCCTTGTCAAAATTTGTTTTGAACAGCAGATGAAGTCTTGAGTGACCTTCAGTGTATATCACTTAGGTTGGGACAAAGTTTATGTTCTCTTTAGATAATAAGTGCAATTCTTTCATAGAAAAGAAAATCACTTATAGAAAAACAGATGCGCCACCATTTGAGTTATGCATTTCAGTCCTTTTGATAACCAAATTGGATGTGTTTACACATTACAGTAATCACTGTTTACTCGTAAACTTGGGTTCCAAGCCTCAAAACACTTACTCCTCGGTGCTTGTTACCATGACTTCAGTGTGATTATTCATAGTAACAAACTCTGTGCTCTGTAGCATTTTCAGGAGCAGGCCCTTACTTTTAATAGTCTAGTCAATTGATTGAAAATAGAAGTGAAATGAGAAACTTCAATATCATATATATATGATACACACACACACACAGACATGTAAGTGGTCAAATATATTTAATATAGAGCTGTCAATTAATCGTAGTTAACTCACGTGATTAATGCAAAAAAATCGCGATTTAACAAAGTAATCGTGATTAATCGTACTTATAACAATAGAAAGCAATTGAAATTTATTAAATATTTTTGAATGTTTTTCTACATTTTCCATATTGATTTCAATTACAACACAGAATACAAAGTGCACAGTGCTCACTTTCTATTATTATTTTTTAATTGCAAATATATGCACCGTAAAAATGATAAACCAAAGAAACAGTATTTTTCAGTTCACCTCATACAAGTACTGAAGTGCAATCTCTTTATCGTGAAAGCCTAACTTACAAAAGCAGATTTTTTTTTTTGGTTACATAACTGCACTCAAAACCAAAACAGTGTAAAACTTTAGAGCCTACAAGTCGACTCAGTCGTACTTCTTATTCTGCCAATCGCTAAGACAAACAAATTTGTTTACATTGACAGGAGATACTGCTGCCTGCTTCTTATTTACAATGTCACCTGAAAATGAGAACTGGCATTCGCATGGCACATTTGTAGCCGGCGTTGCAAGGTATTTACGTGCCAGATATGCTAAACATTTGTATGCCCCTTCCATATTTCGGCCACCATTCCAGAGGACATGCTTCCATGCTGATGATGCTTGTTAAAAAAAAATACTGCGTCAATTAAATTTGTGATTGTTCTCCTTGGGGGGAGAATTGTATGTGTCCTGCTCTGTTTTACCCGCATTCTGCATATATTTCATGTTATAGTAGTCTCGGATGATGACCCAGCACATGTTCATTTTAAGAACACTTTCACAACAGATTTGACAATATGCAAAGAAGGTACCAATGTGAGATTTTTAAAAATAACTACAGCACTCGATCCAAGGTTTAAGCGTCTGAAGAGCCGTTCAAAATCTGAGAGGGACGAGGTGTGGAGCATGCTTTGAGAAGTCTTAAAAGAGCAACACACTGATGCAGAAACTACAGAACCCAAACCGCCAAAAAAGAAAATCAACCTTCTGCTGGTGGCATCTGACTCGGGTGATGAAAATGAACATGCATCAGTCCGCATTGCTTTGGATCGTTATCAAGCAGAACCCATCGTCAGCATGGAAGCATGTCCTGTGGAATGGTGGTTGAATCATGAAGGGACATATGAATCTTTAGCACATCTGGCACGTAAATATCTTGCAACGCGAGCTACAACAATGCCATGCAAACACCTGTTCTCATTTTCAGATGACATTGTAAACAAGAAGCAGGCAGCATTATCTCCCACAAATTGTAACCAACCTTGTTTGAGTGATTGGCTGACCAAGAAGTAAGACTGAGCGGACTTGTAGGCTCTAAAGATTTACGTTGTTTTATTTTTGAATGCAGTTAGTTTTTTTGTACATAATTCTACATTTGTAAGTTCAACTTTCATGATAAAGAGATTGCACTATAGGACTTGTATGAGGTGAATTGAAAATACAATTTTTTTGTTTCTTATAGTGCAAATATTTGTAATAAAAAATAAATATAAAGTGAGCACTGTACACTTTGTATTCTGAGTTGTAATTGAGATTAACATATTTGAAAACATAGTAAACATCCAAAAATATTTAAAATAAATAGTATTCTATTGTTGTTTAACAGCGCGAATAATCACGATTAATTTTTTTAATCGCTTGACAGCCCTAATTTAATGTTCATGGTATTCTCAGAGATGCACAAACAGAAATAGACATTTTTTTCTGTGGTGTGGGGGCTTTCCCTCAACAAATTAAGAAAAAAAAAATCCATATTTTACCACAGAGTAGACAGGCACTCTTCCTTTTAAATGCATCTTCACAAAAGACATTATTTAACCCTTTTGTACTCAGCATGTCACTCGCTTCTGATTACACGCGCATCTTGCATTTGCTCTGCACTGGTGAAACCTTTGCCCTGAGCAATGGAGAGTTAAATTGCTATGAGTATGGAAATCATCATCTACTCTGAACTTATGGCCACAGCCATTGAATAAATAATATGGGGAGGGACTGCAGATTTCATGCATGGGTAACTATGACACATTTTATAGTTGCCTATGGCAGGATAAATTATTATATAAAACTCAAAATGTCACTTAATGTCATTAGAATAAATGCTGTGTTAAATTACTTTTAGAATTCAATTTTAATATATTTCATTTACAATGAATGCTTGATGTCCTTGAGAATATCCACATGAATGTTTTGTTTTCCAAGTTTATACTGTCATGGTATGGTAAGAAACAAAAATAACACTGTAGGTCCTAAGTAACGGTACACACATTAACTTCAGGTTTTTAAAAGTGATATTTTACATGTAATCTTAATTGTAAGGAAGCCTAAGTCTGAGAGAGAAAATTACTTACTAATGTTTAAACTTTCAAGTTGTCTGCAAGGTAAACAGTGTGGTATTCATGAATTCCGCGAATCTTTTTTCATTAGGAAGATATAGACGTGGAAAAACATAAATTAAGTACGGTCATAGCCGTTGTTTGGAAAGATGAGTCTTTAAAATGTGTGATTAACTTTCTATTACTTATTTTGAGGCCATAAAATTATTTTTATTAACTAGTTTTATTTCATTTCCTGAACAGTCATCTTTCAACAGTTTTGGGAAACAAGTTTGACCATGGGGCTGAAGCCATTGTGCCTACTCTTTTTAATCTGGTCCCTAACAGCGCCAAAGTTATGGCAACTTCTGGCTGTGCTGCAATCAGATTTGTCATTCGTGTAGGTATTCCTCTGATGGTATTTTATGGATTTGTTTGATAAAAAGTAACTCTACTCAGCTAGTCACTCCTAACAAAAATCTGTTGCCAGTCTAATATATATTCCATATTTACATAGTCATTGTTTTTAAAGACTGAACTGTAAGTTTTGCCCTGGGCAAGTAATTTTTTTGACAGAGGAACAAAATGTCATTATTCATCATCCATCACCACAATCATGGTAAAGCGTGGGCAAGGAGATACTGTGAAGGGCAAGTGCATTTTCCTGACTGTTTTGCGAGGCTGGGCTATTTAAGCGTATACCAAGAAATAACATTATCTTGAGGGAACGGCAAAGTGATTTAAACTGGATTCGCTAGTAATCAAAACATCCATTTTATTTAAATAAAAAAAAATCAGACTGCCTGCAGTTTATATATAAAAAGCTCTGACCCTCTTTAGCCTTTACAAGTAGTAATTACTATTTTACACTGACCTTATCCACACTACAGCTGGATCTGGGGTTGTTTTTGTAAATTGTTAGAGATCCAGTCAGCTTAACTAGTTGCAAGTGTTTTTATGGCATCCACACCTAGTACTCTTCCTAACCATGTTTTAAGAGCATATTCTGGGACATGCTGGACAGCTGTCACTTAGAACCTAAGTAACAACTGCGTGTGCTAAGGGCCATGGGTGTTTTTCTTCCAGAGCGTTCTGGGATGTCTAACTGCACAGTTAGGAGAGGAGGAGGGAGTAGTTTTTTCAGTTACAATGGCATGAGTTGGGATGTCTGTACACACCAAAATAACTATTTCTAGTTGCTCACAGAAGCCAAACTATATACCAGGCTAGTTAGGTGTTGGGGTAAGATATAAAAAGTGAATACAACCAATGATTTGCTTATTGCAATTTAATGGGGAAAAAGGTTTATGACAGTGTTTAAACTTTTGTCCACGAAAGAATAACAGACAATAACATACCAGATAATAAATTTTGACAGTCCAATAATTCCCATCCCAGTGTGCCCCTAAGCCTTATCAATCAGATAACTTTTGCAGTGTGCCTTGAAGGTCAGCAAATTTGAGCTCCTTTGTACCAAACGCTGGAAATGAGCCGAAGGACCCTCACAGAAAGCACACTACCCCCTGGCTTGTCTCTCTAATCACGAAGGGTCAAGCACCTTGACTGATATGATTCATAGCGGTAGGGCACTGGGAGGGCAGAGATGATCTGTTGGGGCAGGTCCCAGGCTATTTAGGACTTTATAGGTCAAAGCTAACACTTCAAACTCCTCCTAAAAACCAGCTGGCTGCCAGTGTAGATGCTGGGGTACTGGTGTCTTGTGGTGTTAGTCAGAGATCCCACTTATTCTGCAGCAGCTTCAGTCTCCCACCTTCAGTCTTGTTTGCCCTTTCATTGTGTTTCCTGTTCCTTGCCCTGGCAGTGCTTAGTGTAGTCTGTTTTCCCTTTGAAAACCAGTAGAAGCAGATTATGAGACAAGTGGACATCAGGGTGAGGAATCCTTTCCACCATCAAAGAGGTGGGACTTAGCTCATGCAGTTGAGCACTAGCTCCAGTGTTTAAGCTGTTGAAGTGGGATTCTGTTAAAAAGAAATATATCTGTGGACAACATTAAAGCTGTCTTATTAATGCAATCTCAAAGTCAATTTAAAGCAAGCTGTAGGCCAATATTCCGTATTTTTCAGAAATATTTGATTACATAAATAATTTTGTGCATTTTTCTAATTCCTCTTTGATGCATTTTTCTGAAAGGCCTGTGTCATGATGTAAATAGATCTAGAGACCAAATATTGTAAAATAAGGCTGTTGCCTCTATTTGAAACATCGTGTTCCTTCCCCAGTAGAGTCTCATTACCACATGCCTTATATGTTGATCAAATGCCCTTATTCATTGATGAAAACTGTACAAAAGTACAAATGAATTGATATTAATTTTTAAAAGTCAGTTACGTGAAAAATACAAAAAATCAGTTGCTGTTCTGGAATTTTCCATGTTAATTTATTTTTAATGTTGAGAGTAGGCAGTGCATTAAAAACTGAGAAGAATCCTGCTGTTATGAGAGGTTCACATGGTCATGTATCACATTCACAAGCTATGGGAAAAAATACTATGCACTGAATGGGTTGCTGCTAATACAGTTTAAAAAAGGCCATGCAGTCTTTATATTATTTATATCGGTTTACTTTTTATGCTCAGGTGTTGATTAGAATAACATCTGAAATTGTATGGAAGCAACATCAATTTAGATTTTCTGTGGAGAAACAGATATGGTACATTTGAGCCTTCAAAGGGTTTTTTTGGTGGCTAAATGTTACATAAATGAGAAAATTGGGGTATGGTCAGAAATGTTTTTCCTTGGATATTTTTATATCTTAATTTTACATATGTTCATGACCTAGTCAGGGAAGTGTACTTTTACACACATTCTAAATTTGGATTAAACAATTAACATTTAAAATCCTATATTTAATCATTAATATTTTATCTGTTGCTGAAAAATTATTAACTACGTTCATTTGAAATTTAGCACTCTGATTTTAGGAATGTTTTTGGCATTGGCTTCATTGTGTTATAATATTTATGGATTTTTTTCAGCATACCCATGTGCCCAGACTAATACCTTTAATAACAAGCAACTGTACTTCAAAATCAGTTGCTGTCAGGAGGTGAGTACTTTATAAATAACAAATTATTAAAACTGTTAGTTTATATTCCTTAATTTTATAATAGACTACTAGCAAAATTATCTTCAAAATAGTATGTTTTTATTGCAGTCACCGTAATATAATGTGAAAATCTATTATCTAATAAGCTACCATGCACTACAGATAATTGAGATTCAACAAAGTAAGCGTCCACGTGCTGGTAATGAGTGAAAAAAACTTTCCCTAGAAAATATGTGAGGGGCCCTCAACTATCAATTTCTGCAGAATTGAAGCTTTTTGATTTTTATTTTTTTATTTTTTTAAGTTTCAAGCTTATTTCACTGCAAAAGGTAACCTTCTAAATGGAACCTAAATGTAAATAAATGAAGTGTTTTCCCAAGTCTGCAGAGCTCTAGTACTTCTGCTGCCATAGGTTTCCTAAGCAGTAATAGACTGAAATTAACATTACTCTGGTCAGTTTTGCTGCTGCAGTTCAGAACCCACTGAGCAACAGTGAATGTATCAAATGTATGTCATTTTTACGCTAATGTCCCTACTTTGAAATCTATGAACAGCAGCAGAGGCAGACACAGAGGTTATTCATGGGGATGGGGCAGCTCAGAAGCATTATAGATTTTTGCTTCCCACTCTTACAGCTCCTTGAAGGGCTTGAGTGGAGTAGTGAGATCTGCCCTTCTATGGAGCTGGGGAGGGATAGAGTAGCAGAGACCTTCCTCCACTTGAAGCCGTCAGAAGGTTCTGCAGGGGGACAAAAAGATGGAAAGTTCCTTGCATCTTCCAGCGGCTTGGTGATTGGACTTCTACATTTATAAGACACCAGCTAGCTACAGGCGGTTACAAAAGATGATACTCCCAAGCAAGGAACAGGACTTGCTGTCTTGTCGAAAACCCACCAATCTCCTCCTCAACAGGTTTGGTGTGGTTGATTTTCTCACTGGGGAATTGCCACTTGACTTAGTTGGTGTGCCTTTTGTGCTAAACATGTTAAAGCGGTTGTATTTGTAGTAACGCTTGTTGAACGTCAAGTGGTCATATGAACCATTCTGCTTTTTTAAAATGCAGTGTGATTGCATGTAAGTGGAAAAATCTAAACAATGTGCAAAGTAAAAAAAATTTCCACCATTACAACAGAAGAAGCCAAACAATTTCCTAGTGTGTTAAGTGTGAGATATTTTATTATATGCAGTTATTATTTTCCAGGAGGAAAAAGAACAAAGTTATCACCTATTATTTCAGGAAAGTAGAGAATTGCAGGTTTTTAACATTTTTTTCCTATTTTGTTTTAGACGCTCCTTTGAATTTTTAGACCTGTTACTGCAGGAGTGGCAGACTCATTCACTGGAAAGGTAGGAGCAGTGGGTTCCTTTTTGTCATCTAGAAAAGTTTTCAGTTAATTAAAAAAAAAATCCTTCATTTAAATCCTACAACTAGACCACTTAAGTCATTTGTGAAATAGACTTTTACTCTGTATAATTATACTATTTGCTCTTATGAATTGTCCTATCAGTGTTTTATTGCTGCTGTTTAAACTTACCTTGGGATTTAGAACTGGTATACAAATACTTACCTGAAATTTAAAAGGTTTGTTTAAATTTTGTTTTGTTTCTCTTAGCATTAATGTGATGAAAAAATAATTTTATGCTCCAGTCAAACAACTGTATTTTGAAGAGAAAACAGATATTTTTCTTCAAGTTATTGTCCCTACAGGTGTTCTATGTCTTATGTGTGCACTTTCATGCACTTTACATCAAACTTTTTGTCAGCATGCCCTCAGGACCATGCCTTTGACCTGCTCATCTGTGTGCTCCATTACAAGAATATATAGGGAGTGGTGGTCCTCCTCAACTGCTTGCAGCTTGAGCCAGTGTTGTGGTATCTGCTAGCTAGCTACACAGCTTGTTTATTATTTTTATGAAGTATTTCTTTTTGTTAGCTTTTCATTTATTTTATAGCCCAAACGTGTGCTTGGGATGAGGGGTGTTCCCTTCTCCTTTTTTGTGGTCAGGGCTTCTGTTGCCCTCAGCCCGTGTTTTTTTGTAGCCTTTCCTACATGTATTCTGAAAACTCAAGACTTCCATTAGTGTTTGTATTAATCAATGTTCTAGTGATTTTAATTGTAGTTTGGTAGTTGAGAAGTTAGTTGCATTTTTTGTGGGGGGTATGCAAGAAGGACCTGCAGTCTTTTTAAAACATTATTACTATTCCTTCAATAAATAATTATTACAAATTAGGTTCTGATGATAGTGTGTCTGGAATTTTAATCCTAACGTTAGAAAGAAAAGGAAATACTACAAAATTCTTATTACCAGAAATACTTTCTAGATTGGTGGTATTGTACAATCTGTGTGTTTGGCTGCATAGATGCAATATCAAACTAGCTGAAAGGTGGGAAAAGTTTTGTTCTGTCTTCGCTCCCAATAAAGTTACATAACTTTTTTGTCCAGAGTGTAAAATAGGATCATGATGTTGGAAATACTGTGACTGAATATTTTTTCTAAGGAGAAGTATGTTACCCAGCAGTGGCTTAAATTAGTCTACAGTAAAATGACCTGGAAAATATTTTACATATTACTCAGTGATACATAATATACTATGTATTGCTAGCATGTTAAATCAGAGAGGTAAAAATATCTCTCTTTTCCCTAAGAAAAGACAAAATCCGTATTTTGCTGCGACAATATTTGATAGGTATTATACTGGCTGACAATATTCAGTGCATTTTAAATCCAGCCTGAAAAGGATGTAAATAAAACATATTAATCTAGGTACTTATTGGCCATAATCACAGTAATATCTGAGCATCTCACAGACTTAAATGTATTTAACCTCATTAACACTCTGGTGAGGTAGGAAAAGTAGTATTTTTCACAGATGGGGAGCTGAGGTATAGAGCGATTAAATGATTTGCCTACGGTTACATAGGAAGTCTGTAGCAGAGCTGGGAATTGAACCTAACCTCCTAAATCCTTGTCCAGTAACTTAAATGCAAGATCATCCTTTCCTAATACTGTGGTGATATTTTATAAGTAAAGAGAATTCTTTGCTTTCAACTACTAGTACAGTATTTTTGAGTAAATAATCATTCTTCTTCAAGAGATGTCCCTGTGGGGGCTCCACTCCAGGTGTTGATGTGTCCCTGCGCCTTCACTTGGAGATTTTAACAGCAGTACTCGTACCAGTCACGCACTTGCAGAGCCTGCCCCTCAGCTCTGAGTGTACCTTAATAGTACGCCAGTGTGACCAGTCTCCTCAGTTCCTTCTCTACCGTCCCTGGCCTGAGATGGAGCTCAGCAGACTCGTTAGAGACTTTCTCTCCCTTTGTTACAATTACCTTTCTAGTTAGTTAGTTTGTTACCAGTAGTACTTAGTTACCATTTTTTATCCTTTTCTCTCCTAAAATAAATAAATAAATAAAACATTTTTCTTTGTTCCTGTCAGTGGCAGCCGCTTCCGACATGTTTGGCTCCCCAGGCTTTAAGCGCTGCTCTGCCTGCAAAGATGCCATCCCTCTGTCAGAAGGCCATGCAAAGTGCATAAAATGTTTGGGGGTGTCCCACATCCCCCCAAAAATGTGCCCACTGCAGCAAACTTAAATCTAGGGCACAGAAGGACAGGGAGCTGAGACTAAAACTGCTCCTCCTTCAAAAATCATTAGGGTCAGCTTCAGACCCAGGTGCTGACTCAGGATCCACTGCACACCACAGCCCCCCGCCTCAAAGAGAGACAAGAAAACTGCAAAAAAAGGGCACCTTCTCTCACCTGCAAAGGGAACTTTGCGGGAGAAGACTTCCTCAGGCAGGTCTACAGCCTCCCTCCCAGCACTTCCCCGGCTGAGCACTTTTGACGCGCTGGGCTCCTCCGGCACCGTGTGAAACCCGGCTGTGGAGGTACCACCAAACTCCGGTGCCGAGGCTTCAGGCTTCCAGTTGCCTGCCTCTCATATGGCACCGTTCAGCACTGCGACGGAAGCCGTGCCGACACATGCTAACGTGCCTGACCCCCCCGCAGGCTGTTGTTGCTTTCCCGGCACCGACACCCGCTAAGCTGGCCGGCAGTGAAACAATGCTTAGGACACCGGTGCAGAGGGATTTTTCTTCACAGCACATTCCTCTTGCACAGCCCTCCCCTCACAGAGGAGGTCCAACACTGCAATTTACAGAGTCTAGGGATCTGCTGGTATCACCTGTCCTGCAGTCACCCCTACTCAATGCCTACTTCTCTCCAAATGCTCAGTCAGGGTCCGGACAGCCTTCCTCCAATGATGAGGAAGGTGGACTGCAGGGGGAATTTTCACCATATCAAATCTCCCATCCTCAGACCCCAATCAATAGAGGTCAGAAAAATTACCTCGTCCTACTCTCAGGGTCCTGCCCCATGGTGTGTAAACCCCTGGATGGCACCACCTATGCCCTTCCCTCCACAGTGGCAATATTGGGCACCAGGGGCATCTTATCCTCGAGACCACACTCACTATGCCACCTCAACCAGGCGCAACACCTGTCCGGCACCGCCAGCTGACGAACCTGACACTGACATAAGGCACCAGGCAGCACATCACAACTGCAGGATAAGTCACAACCTGCCTCAAACCCAGTAGACCCAGTTGTTATGCTTGATGAAGCCTTACTTCCCCCTTCCCCCACATCTTCGGATGATTTCTCAAAACTTCAAGACCTTTTCAAAAGAGTTGCCAGAGAGTTAATTCTTAACTTGGAGGAGGTTCCTGAACAGCAGCATGAATTAATGGACATCCTTCAGCCCTCTTCTTCTTCTAGGATTGCATTACCGATCAACGCAGCCCTTTTGGAACCTGCTACGGCCATTTGGCAGAGTCCTGCTGCAAGCTTACCTACCTGTAAATGAGCGGACCGCAAGTACTTCATCCCTTCCAAGGGCTCTGAATTCCATTTCACTCATCCAGTGCCAAACTCGCTGATAGTAGACGCAGTTACCAAAAGACCAAACACCAATTTCCCCGCTCCACCCCATCCGACAAGGACAGTAAGTGACTAGATTTGCTCGGACGTAAAGTATACGCATCTTCCACGTTACAGTTTCGCATTGCTAATTATACTGCTTTTCTGGCAAAATATGACCACAAAAATTGCAATAAATTCATGGACTTTATTGATGACATTCTGGAAGGAAAAAAACAACAATTCACAGCTCTAGTTTCCGAGGGACAAATCATCTCACATACCGCTCTTCAAGCGGCCCTCGATGCAGCCAACACTGCAGCAAGATCCACTGCTACAGTAGTGGTCATGCGCTGAGGTTCATGGCTTTCCTCCTCTTCCTTTCCTTGAGAGGTCTAGAATACCATTGAAGATCTTCCCTTTGGCAACAAACTCTTTGCCTTCACGACGAACGACTTACTTCATTCAATGAAAGACTCAAGTCTCTCCGGTCTCTATGAATTCAAACACCTACGATCAGAAGGCGACAGTATCGGTATCAACCCTACCAGAGTCCACGTTACCCTGCATATACCCAGCAATTCCATAGATCACATGAGCAACGACAACAGCAGCAATGCAAGAGACCCAGATACTAGTGTCACTGTCCCAATTCCTCGGCAGCGTCTCAACCCCCTCCGATTAATGAGCAGATTTGAAGCCTTGGTCGAGGGTTTAGAAAACAATGTTCCCACTTCAGCGCTTACACCACATGTCCCTATTTTTGTACACCGCCTACAACCATTCTCCCATCAATGGCAGAACATTACTACCGACAAGTGGGTTACAGAGGTTGTCACAATTGGCTATTCGATCCCTTTCCTATCCTTGCCTCCTACTCACCCACCCTCCCTGTCCCTCTTCAGGGACCCCTCTCATGAGCAACTACTCATCCAAGAAGTACAACATCTTCTATTGGGATCAGTGGAACTTGTGCCTGAACGACACAGAGGGAAGGGGTTTTATTCCCATTATTTCTTAACAGAAAAGAAAACCGGGGGATGGCGACCTATCCTCGACCTCAAGCGGCTCAACAAATTTATCAAAAAGCAAAAGTTCAAAATGGTTACCCTCGCCACCGTAATCCTAGTGCTGGAGCAGGGCGATTATTTTTCAGCCCTCGACCTACAGGACGCCTATTTTTATGTGACTATACATCCGGCACACAGACGTTTCCTTCGTTTTACCCTTGGCTCGACACATTTTCAGTACAGGGTGCTACCCTTCGGCCTATCCACCGCCCCCCGTGTTTTTTCCAAGCTCCTAGACATAGTCACTGCCTACCTTAGGAAACAAGGACTTATCATAATTCTTTACCTCAGTGATTGTCTCCTCAAAGCTTCAACGCTCGATGAAGTGCTTCGATTCACGCAGCTCACTGTCGATTGTTTCCTATCCCTCGGCCTACAAATAAACAAAAACAAATCCACATTATCTCCTACTCAGCACCTGGAGTTCATAGGAGCACACCTTGATTCCCGGACGGGAATAGCATCTCTCCTGCCTGATTGCTTCAACACCATGAAATTATTGGCAACGAAACTCTGCAACAGTCCTCAGGTCACTGCTCGAGACTGTCTGCAATTACTAGGTCACATGACCTCGTGCACTTTCGTGGTCCAAAACGCATGACTATACATGAGGTTCTTCCAAGCTTGGTTGGCCATGGTTTACAGACCGAATGTGCACTCTCTAAAAAAGCCTCTATCCATACCTTTCAGAGTCAAAGACTCTCTCCTATGGTGGACAGTTCCCTCCAACCTCTGCTCTGGAGTCCCCTTTCTCCAGGATGCTCCATCCCTCATAATGACTACCGATGCATCTCGCACAGGGTGGGTTGCACACATGTCCCACCACACAGCCCAGGGGTATGGTCTTAAGCCGAAACCTCCCTGCACATAAATGTCCTAGAACTTCGAGCCATACGCAACGCCTGCTGTCACTTCATCCCATTAATCCAGAACCAACATGTATGGATAATGACAGACAACATCGCCTGCATGTTTTATGTAAACAGGCAGGGTGGGGTTAGCTCACACGCGCTTTGCACAAAAGCCATGAAGCTCTGGAATTGGTGCCTTGCGAACAACATTCTGATATCAGCCGGCTATCTTCCTGGAGCTATGAATACCACAGCGGATTAATTAAGCAGACGCTTTCCCTGGGATCATGAATGGGATATAAACGAGACAATCATCTACAACATATTCCACGTGTGGGGCTACTCAACCATAGACCTTTTCGCAATTGTGAAAAACACGAAATGTCCCGAATTTTGCTCCAGAGCGGGACTGGGCAAACATTCCCTGGGAGATGTGTTCATGATCCCATGGCACCAGGACTTGCTATATGCTTTTCCTCCAATACTGGTTCTCCACAGAGTACTAACAAAGATACAGACAGATCGTGCCACAGTAATTCTGATTGCCCCATCGTGGCCCAGACAACCATGGTTTCCGTTCCTATCAATCCGCCCACTAATCTCGTTGCCCCTCACTCCAAACCTTCTATTGCAGCAATACGGCTGATTTCTTCACCACAACCTGTCCATGCTTCACCTCAAAGCTTGGTACCTACAGGGTTCTCCAAAAATCAACTAGCATACTCTGAGCAGGTTCAAAGAATGCTCCTACATAGCAGAACACAATCTACTCGCATCACCTATCTCTGTAAGTGGAAGCGATTCACACACTGGTGCTCACCTAAACAACTTCTTCCTACTTCTGCACCTCTCCCAATCATACTTGACTACCTATTAGACCTCAAGCAATCGGGCCTTTCTTTCAGCTCCATCAAAGTCCACTTAGCTTCTATTACAACTTTTCATGACAAGATCGATGATACCTCTGTTTTTGCTCATCCAATCACCAAGCGTTTTCTCAAAGGGCTCCAATCCCTATACCCAGACATTAAATCTCCTACCCCTCCGTGTGACCTTCAATTAGTTTTATCCTGCTTAACTCAACAACCATTCGAGCCCCATGCCACTTGCTCCCTCTTACACCTCTCTAAGAAAACAGCATTCCTAGTGGAATCACCTCCGCCAGACGGGCAGGAGAAATAGCAGCTCTCATGGCACACCCACATTATACACTATTTTTTAAGGACAAGGTAACCCCCTCTCCGATTACATCCCAAATTCCTTCCAAAGGTGCATTTGTCGTTCCACATCAATGAGCCGATACACCTACCAACTTTATTTCCTAAACCACATGCAAACTCTTTTGAATTTACCATGTCTACGTTAGGCGTACGCAGGACTTTGTCCTTCTATTTGAATAGAACCAAGCCCTTTAGGAACTCTTTGTCTCCATCGAGAGTGTTCCAAAGGGACACCTATTTCTACCCAGAGACTTTCAAACTGGATTTCTGAGTGTATCCGACTGTGCTATCAGATAAAGAAAGTGATGCCTCTAGCCGGCATCAGAACTCACTCCACTAGATCTGTGGCTACCTCCATGGCTTTTCTACGCAAAGTTTCCCTGGCTGACATCTGTAAAGCGGCCACTTGGTCTTCTGAATACACATTTGTTAAGCACTATGCCCTTACTCAAGAACCTCTCTCTGATAACACGATTAGGCAGAGCTGTATTATCTACTGCATTCCTACCACATCCAAAATCCCTACCTCCTTGAGAAACACTGCTTTTCAATCACCTGGAGTGGAACACCCACAGGGACATCTCTCGAAGAAGAAGAGGAGGAGGTTACTCACCCTGTGCAGTAACTGATGTTCTTCAAGATGAGTGTCCCTGTGGGTGCTCCACTACCTACCTTCCTTCCCTCTATTTCGGAGTTGGGGTAGCCTCCATTGTAGAGAAGGAACTGAGGAGACCGGTCGTGCATGTGTACTATTAAGGTACACTCTGGGGGGGCGGCAGGCTCTGCGCTTCCGTGACCGGTACAAGTACTGCTGTTAAAATCTCCAAGCGAAGGCGCAGGGACGCACCAACACCTGGAGTGGAGCACCCACAGGGACACTCATCTCAAAGAACGTCAGTTACTACACTGGATGAGTAGCCTCCTCTCTATCAATCCAGTAGTATGCTATTTTTATTCTGCATTAATTGATTGATTGATATCAAAAGACTGATCATTCAAAAACTAAGTTTTAAGGAATACAGTGGGGAGACACTTTATCTTTGTACTTATTCAAGATAAGCCTATTTTCTATCACTGATCAATATATTGACTTCTTTACTAAACATGCATCTTCTTAAAATTGAAAGGTACTTTCTAGCATGCCTGTCTTAACAATGGGCCCAAGTAAGCATGCAGGCACAGATTTCATCTTCCGAACCAGGCATAGCTGGGGCCTGACAGCCTACCTAAGCATCTTAAAAAGGGATAGTTATGTCATTATGGCTCTCGTGTCTTTCCTGACTTGCATCTTCTAGAAGGACGGTCCAGACCCAATATCAGGGTCACTGTGGGTAGGTCTACAGTACAGTAAAAGACCCATGGCACAACTGCAGCTGGCTCAGGTCAGTTGACTCATGCTGCGGGGCTAAAAATTGCAGTGTAGATATTTGGGCTTAGGCTGGAGCCTGGGCTCTGAGCCCCCGCGAGAGGGGCGGGTCTCAGAGCTCAGGCTCTAGTCCGAGCCTGAATGTCTATACTGCAATCTTTAGCCCTACAGCTTGAACCTCTTGAGCCTAAGTCATTTGACCCAGCTCCAAAACTTGGTGCCGCGGGTTTTTAATTGCAGATATACTCTGTATGACTTAGAGAAACTTAATTAACAGGTAAGAAATTACCTTGGTATAATTAAATTTGTAAAATTAAAAACTAATATGAGGTATGTTTGTCTTCTAGGCATGCAACTGTCTTGGTTGAAACCATCAAGAAGGGCATTCATGATGCTGATGCTGAGGCAAGAGTGGAGGCAAGAAAGTAAGAGTTTTGAGTGAACTTGTAATCTTGGTTGAAAGATTTGAAGCGCCGCATCTCCGCCCTTGCCCCTCCCTCCCAGAAAGTCCTAAGCGCCGCCAAACAGCTGGGACAAACAGCTGGGACAAACAGCTGTTTGGCGGCGCTTACGACTTTCTGGTGGGGAGAGCGGGGATGCGGCGTGCTCCGGAGAGGAGGTGGAGTGGGGGTGGGAAGAGGTGGGCCTGGAGTGGAGGAGGACGGGAACAGGCGGGCCTGGAGCATCCCCTGGCAAAGTCAGTGACCTGTTCTGCTCCGGGGAAGCTGCTGCTGTGAAGGTGCTTCCTAGCATCCTTGCCTGTAGCACGCTGTGCTTGTGTGAGGTAAGCCATGGGCACTTCCCAACCACAGTACAGTACTGTACAGTATATAATGCCTTTTGTCTGCCCGAAAAAAATTTCCGTGGAACCTAACCCCCCACATTTACATTAAATCTTATGGGAAAATTGGATTTGTTTAACATCATTTCACTTAGTTGCATTTTTCAGGAACATAACTACAGTGTTAAGTGAGGAGTTACTGTATGCTTAAGGTATTTAACTGTTAATCACTGAAGAATCTGGTTGAAATTGATCATTTAATATAATCCTAAAATGAACATTTTTTTCCATGCAAAACGCCCTACCTAATTTAGTAACGCTTAGAAGAGTTCCTGGTTTTTGTTTTGTAAAATCTGATGACTTCAGTAAAATGGAAGTATTGTAGATCAGTATTTCTGCCTAATCAGTCTCTTACTTCCATGAGTACAAAACATCATTGAACAACTAACAGTTCTTTTGTTAAGACAGATGATAATTCTTCTCATCCTCCTATGCTTGTTTTCTGCAGGGACAACAAAATAAAATAAATACCTATCTTCTATATTTTGTCAATTAAGGTAATTAACAGTCCTTTGAAATATAATAAGGAAACCTATAAGTAGCATGAAAATGACCATTTAAAATTGGTGCCTTTTTCATGCAAGGTTTTAACTTGGAATCTACCCTTCTTTGTGACAGTAATGCTTATTATTTTCTGTTACAAAAGATTCTTTTTTTGTAGAGATTCACTGCTTGTCACACATGGAGACATACAGTTACACAAGAATAAAACACAAGTATAGGAAATAAAACTGAAAATTAATGGATAAAGCTAGTGTTCAACCCCTGCCCTTTTCATAATCTCATTCAAATCCATTAAAACTAAATGCATAAAAAAACCCTTCATCAGATACTAAGTTTACAGATTTAAATGCTCAAAGTTTAGTAAGTGAAAATGTTAAAATTCTTATTGCAGCAATACCTCACATAGCACTAGGATGACCAGATGTCCCGATTTTATAGGGACAGTCCCAATATTTGGGGCTTTTTCTTATATAGGCTCCTATTACCTCCCTACCCCCGTCCCAATTTTTCACACTTGCTGTCTGGTCACCCTACATAGCACACATTTTTAATTTCTAGTTACTGTTAAATATAAACAGAAAAATGTACGGTGTGTGCCATGTGAGAGTTTCTTAAAGAACCATACGTTTTTCTTTTGGGTAGACAGAGGCACAGAGAGGTGAAAGCGACTTGCCCAAGGTCACCCAGCCAGTCAGTGGCAGAGCCAGGAATAGAATCCAGGTCTCCTGAGTCCCAGTCCTGTAGCCTCTTCACTGTACCACTCTACCTAGCAATGAAAATAAAACTGCCAGTACTTATTGTTAGCATTCAAATGGTCTCAGTTAGGATTTGAAATCCTCACCTGATTGTGATAAATGGAACTGGGAAGGGCTAAATTCACTCCTCTTTGGCTGCAGACCATTAAGGCAGACCACTACTGCTATGCTACCAGGCCACTCTTTTACATTTGTGTAATGTGTAATGAATTCTGAATTACATGAAAAGTACATCTGTTTAAAATGCAGAATCAATATCTAGTATTTCTCAATGTTATTTCTTAAGCACCTTCTGTTTTCCAAAATAATAATTTACTTCAGAGGCAAATTTTGAAGCAAAATTAAATCACCATAAATCTTAACTAACTTTTTAAAAAAATTCCCTTTTGAGAAATACCCTTTATATTGTGCTGGTTCACTGAAAGTTTCTTCGAATGGATCATTCTGTGACATCACAGATACTATTGGCTGATAATATTTGATGATATATTCTGGGGCATCTTCAGTGAGCAGGAAATATCAAAAGATATATCACAGAGAATGTGATGGGAGGAATAAAGTTATTTTGGAAAGATTTGTTCAGACTTTTGTGCTAGATGCCTCCATAACCTGGCTAGTGGAGAAGCATTCAGCACATATTTCAGTGCTGGTGCGACTGGGAGCGACGCTGAGATTGCTCAATTAGGGCAAATTGCAAAGAATGGGGCAGACAATCCCCAAAACTGGTGGTTATTCTGATACTTAGATTTACCAAGCCAACAACAAAACAGATTCTACAATACATTACTGGTTACCCAGAAGCCAAAAAACACAGTTCCCTAAAAGCAACCCAGCCTTTGGGCTCCCACTCAGACAACCAAGTCAAATATGATGAGGTTTATTGAAAATCTCGTTCATCATATGAAAAGTTCTACCAGTCCCAAAGGATCGGACACGTTACCCACCAAGTTAATGAATATTTCAGATCTTACACAAATACATGCTTATAGCCAATTCTTATTAACTAAACTAAAATTTACAAAGAAAAGAGGGAGAATATTGGTTTAAAAGATCATTATACATACAGACATGAATGTTGATCTTAGGTCAATTTCATAGTGGAGATGGTGAGCTTTAGAGTTGTACAGAGTTCTTTTAGAATTAGTCCATAGGTGCAGTCCAATGTTCAATATCGGGGTGATCCAGATGGCACTGGAGATCTCAATCTTGTGGTCCAAGCTTCCCCTGATGAAGCATAACAAGATTTGAGATGAAAGGATCAGGTCCCAAGCGTTTTTATAGAGATTTTTTGCAGCCTCTTGTTCTGAACAATAGTCTTCTGAAGTAATCTTCTCTTTCCTAAGCATCACTGGTAGTTAGCTACATTGATTAGTATAAGGTAATTATTCATTAAGCAATTCATAGACAGTTTACTACTAACTTCAAAGTGAAACATAGACAATGGTATTATCATACCCAAGTTTCATCTAAATGTTAATACTCCCTTTTGATCTCTGAATCAGTAGAAACTGTTTACATGGTTAACATTAACGACATATAAGTAAACACATTCAATTACTCTTACCTCTAATTCTCTAACATACAATTTTCTATTTCAAAGCTCTAGTCTGTCTAACATGAAATGGCCCTAACTACGATTTACATACTTTTTTAACACTTTTATAAACGTTGAATTTGGGTCAATTAGCCTGCTAGTTGTGTAACCCTTTCTAGCCTGTGTCACAGCTGGATTTTCATTTTTTTCTGTGTAGTTTAAAAAACAACAAAAAACAAACAAACAAAAAACCTTGTAGCAGTTCTACCTGGCTGTTCTTTTGTTTTGTAGGACTTACCTGGGTCTTAGAAGTCACTTTCCTGGAGAAGCAGAGGCCCTGTACAATAACCTTGAGCCATCCTATCAAAGAAGTCTCCAGACTTACTTGAAGAATTCTGGCAGTATAGCATCTCTCCCTCAGTCAGACAGGTCATCTTCAAGTTCACAGGAGAGTCTCAAGTAAGTGTCACTTAAGCGATTCCCAGTCTGAAAGAACAAAAATTGTCTAGTTCTAATGTGCCTACAGGTTTCAGAGTGGTAGCTGTTGTTTTTGCTGATACAGACTAACATGAAGAGTCCTTGTGGCACCTTAGAGACTAACTAAAAAATTTATTTAGGCATAACTTTCGTGGGCTAAAACCCACTTCATCAGATTCATGGAGTGAAAAATACAGTAAGCAGTATATATATTACAGAACATGAAAAGATGGGAGTTGCCTTACCAAGTGGGGGGTCCATCCAATCAAGGCCAATTCAATTAAGGTGGAAGAGACCTATTCTGAACAGTTGACAAAAAGGGATGAATATCGACAGAAGGAAAGTTACTTTTGTACTGCTAACAAGGCCAATGCAATCAAGGTGGACGTTGCCCATTCCCAACCGTTTTCAAAAAGGTGCGAGTATCAAGAGAGGGGAAATTATTTTTTGTAGTGACCCATCCACTCCCAGGCTTAATTTTGATGGTGTCCAGTTTGCCAATTAATTCCAGTTCTGCAGTTTCTTGTTGGAATCTGTTTTTTAATTTTTTTGGCTGAAGAATTGCCATTTTAAAGTCTGTTATTGAGTGTCCAGGGAGATTGAAGTGCTCTCCCACTGGTTTTTGAATGTTACAATTCTTGATGTCTGATTTATGTCCATTTATTCTTTTGCATCGAGACTGTCCAGTTTGGCCAGTGTACATGGCAGAGGGGCATTGCTGGCACGTGATGGTATATATCACATTGGTAGATATGCAGGTGAATGAGCCCCTGATGGTGTGTCGGATGTGGATAGCTCCTATGATGGTGTCCCTTGAATAGATATGTGGACAGAGTTGGCAGCAGGGTTTGTTGCAGGGATTGGTTCCTGGGTTAGTGTTTCATTGTGTGGTGTGTAGTTGCTGTTGAGTATTTGCTTGAGATTGGGGGGCTGTCTGTAAGCGAGGACTGGCCTGTCTCCCAAAGTCTGTGAGAGTGAGGGATCATCCTTCAGGATAGGTTGAAAATCCTTGATGATGCGCTGGAGAGGTTTTAGTTGGGTGCTGTAGGTGATGCCTAGTGGCGTTCTGTTACTCTGAAACCTTTCTTTGTTTGGCCTTTCCTGTAGTAGGTGACTTCTGGGTACCCTTCTGGCTCTGTCAATCTGTTCTTGGAGTGCTTGCTCATATCAATTCCAGTTAGTTGTGTGCGCGCGCCATGTCAGAAACTTTTCTCTAGCAGCTACCCGTCAGGGTGGCTGTGGAGCCCCCTGGAGTGGCACCAATATAGCGCTCTATATACGACCCTGCCAGCCCGACCCCCCCTTCAATTCCTTCTTACCGCCAGTGACGGTTGTTGGAACAGTGGTCTCTTGCTTGCAAGTGCTCCACTAATCCCTAGCTCTTCTGCTTATCTTTGTATATAGTTACCCATTGTTAGTTAATTGTTCTCGTCTAGTTGTTAATTGTAGTCTTTAGTGGTTGGGGTTTTTTTTCCCCTTCAACGAGGGCCCCGCGGGGCTCTGGGGCATGCATCTCAGGGCTTCCAACCCTGTAGCTCCTGTGCCAAATCTATGCCCATGGGCGACCCCCACGACTCCTATTTTCAGTGTCTGGGAGAAGCCTATCAGGCGGACATGTGCAAGATCTGCGAGGCCGACAAGCCTCGCACTAGAAAGGCGAGGGACATTTGTTTTAAAACAACTCCTCATGGAGTCTGCCCTCTGTCCGCAGCAGGACCTGGCCCCGAGTGTCTTGGTGTGGAGTGTTCCTCAGTCAGTGCTGTCCACAGCACCGAAAAAGGACTCAGCATGCCCTCCCAGGGGCCAGCAGTCTCCTGGGGCCCAGAAGCGTTTCCCTTGGCATCACTCCCACTCGCCGGCTGCCCACAAAAAGCAGGCTAAGGACAAGCCTCCACAACGGCCTGACATGGAAACTGCAGCCTCGGCAGGGCAGGGTGCGGAGCATGGGCCTACGGCCGTCAGACCCTCTGGTCAGGCTCAACCTTCATGGGCCCCTGTCTTCCCAGGAAGCCCCGCGTTCCTGGACTCGCCGCGGCTGCAGGTGGAGGAGGTCATGCTACCCTCCACACTGGACATTTTTTGAGGCCACTACGGGGCTTATCGAAATGATGGCGCCCAAGTCCCCAGTCTCAAGGCCTCTGCTACCCCGAGGCTCGGCACTGTCAAGAGGCAAACCGGCTATGTGCGGGCCGTCTGCCCCCCAACCAGGATCTCTGCGCCGTTCTGAGTCCCGGCGCTGCACTTATGCCCCATGCCAGTCTGACTTGCGGCACTGGTCTCGTAGCCCTGACCCTCAGAGCTGTTCCCGCTCGACGTGGTCGTCGGCTGAGAGGTCGTGGTCCTGCTCGAGGTCCAGATCCCAATCTGTGATCTTGCGGCACCGCTCGCATCGACCTCGGACTGCACTTCCCAGTTGTCGCGGCACCGCTCCCATTTGCAGCACCATTCCAGATCCTACTCCGGACACCAGTCCCCGCTTCAGCTCGGGCCTCAATCGCAGCACCGCTCTAAATCGCAGCACCGCTCCCCACCAAGATGAAGCCCCACTTCGTAGCGCCGATCGACCTCCTGGCACCGCTCCACATCTCGCTGCCATTCCCTGCAGCAGCACCACCGGTCACTGTTTGGTCCTCGTTATTCCCCACAGCACTCATCCCATCCATTCAAGGAGGAGGTTTCCTGGGGATAGTACTGCACCGCCACCCCTTAGCCCTCCCACTCAAAGTTGGCCTGTCTCAGGTCAAGCAGAGCATCGGGGGCATCGGAAGCGCCCAGATCAGGGCCGGGAAGTCTTAGACAGGACGCTTCAGTGCCCCACTGGCAACCCCAGTGGTAATTCTGGACCCCTTAGACGTACCATCCGGTCCAAAGTGCCCCCCCCCCCAGGCGCTCCCTCACCATCCCGTTCAGGGTCTTGCCTCCCCGAGGCAACCATCAGCTGCTCACCTCAGGATCCATCGGAGAACCTGGATCCAACCCGACCCCCGGTGGAAGATACACCAGGGTTCGGGAGAAACCGGTCCCAGAGGATCAGGAGGCTGCCACGGAACCGGTCCTACCGGTGGCTTCTTCCTCGTCATCTCCTGAATAGATATAGTCAGCGTAGTCCGTTGCGCCCTCCTCCTGGGCAGGGCCAGGGCCAGTCCAAGCCCCCTCCAGGCCCTAAGCACCCCTTTTGAAGGTGCGCACGAGGATGGATTACCAGTCCACAACCCGGACAGTTATCCTCCCTTTTTGAACTGTCTATCCCGCTTCTACCGTGCATGGTCCCGTATTACATCGGACCGGTGGGTGATCCGCACGGTAGAGGTTGGATATTCTATCCACTTCTGCTCCTCCCCACCCTCCCATCCCCCTTTTCCATTCCTCTTCAGGGACCCCTCTCACAAACAACTTCTCATCCAGGAGGTTCAGATCCTTCTCGCTCTAGGAGCAGTGGAGGAGGTGCCCCAGGAGCTCAAAGGCAAGGGTTTCTACTCCCGTTACTTCCTCGTCCCCAAAGCAAAGGGAGGCCTAAGGCCATTTCTGGACCTGAGGGAACTCAACAGTTCCGCATGGTCTCCTTGAGCACAGTCATCCCTTCTCTGGATCTGGGAGACTGGTACGCCATCCTCCATATGAAGGATGTCTGTTTTCACATATCTATCACCCCGTCTCACAGATGGTTCCTCTGCTTCATGGTAAACAAGGTACATTATCAATTCACATCTCTCCCATTCGGTCTGTGCATGGCTCCCTGCGGCTTCACCAAATGCATGGTGGTCGTGGCAGTGTTCCTTCGCCGCCATCACATGCAAGTCTACCCTTACCTGGACGACTGGCTCCTCCGAGGCTGCTCTTGTCAGCAGGTGGAATCACAGGTGCAAATGGTCAGAGATATGTTCGAACGCTTAGGCATCATTTTCAATGTCAGCAAATCCGTCCTCACCTCGACTCAAAGAATAGAGTTCATCGGGCAGTCCTTGATGCCAATCAAGCGTTCTTCCCAGAGGTGTGGCATCTGGCCCTATTGTGGATAATCAGCAGCCTTTGCAGCTTTCCTACCACCATGGCGAGGCAGTGTCTCAGGCTGCTGGGCCACATGGCATCCTGCACCTACATGGTGCAGCATGCCAGATTGCGACTCAGGCCTCTGTAAGCGTGGCTCGCGCCATGTATCGCCCTGGCCATGATAGTCTGGACATGGTGCTCACGGTTCCAAGGCATATCCTGGATTCCCTATGATGGTGGCTCTACCCCTGCATGGTGGGTTCTGGGGTTCTTTTCCACCTTTCCCAGCCCACCTTGACTCTGGTAACAGATGCGTCTGCACTGGGCTGGGGAGCGCATCTCAGAAGCCTGACAACTCAGGGCTTATGGCAAGTGGAGGAACTGGCTCTGCATATCAACATCAAAGAGCTCAGGGCGATCCACCTTGCGTGCCAAGCGTTTCTGTCCCGCTTGTAGGGCCACTGTGTAGTGGTGCTCATGGACAATACCACAGCTATGTTTTACATAAACAGGCAAGGCGGAGCCTGATTTTCTCCTCTCTGTCAGGAAGCCCTCCTACTGTGGGAATTTTATCTAGCCCACTCCATCCTTCTCCAAGCTTCATACCTGCTGGGCATTCAGATCGTGCTGGCGGACAGCTTTACGGTTCCTTACGCACGAGTGGTTGATTCGTCTGGACATCATCCACTCAATCTTCCGCAGTTGGGAGTTTCCCCGAATCGACCTGTTCGCCACGCGGGCCAACAGGAAGTGTCCAACCTTCTGCTCCTTCTAGGGTCACAGCCCAGGCTTGATCCAGATGCATTCTTGATTCCATGGTCCAGTCAACTGTTATATGCTTTCCCACCATTTCCACTCATCCACAAGGTGCTTCTTGAGGCCCACAGGGACAGGGCAGACGTCATACTGGTGGCTCCAGCTTGGCCTTGCCAGTGCTGGTGCCCCCCACCTTCATGGACCTGTCGGTCCAGTCGCTGGTACGTCTACCTCTCGCTCCTAACCTCATCTCGCAGAATCACGGCCGCCTCCTTCACCTGGACCTTCAGTTACTCCACCTCGTGGCCTGGAAGATCCGTGGTTGAATCAGGCAGAGCTCGCCTGTTCGGACCCAGTGAGGCAGGTGCTTCTGGAGAGCCGCAAGCCATCTACCAGGGCCACTCACAAAGCGAAAAGGAAAAGGTTTTCTATCTGGTGTGCCCAAAGGCAGGTGCTTTTGCTCCAGGCTTCAATCCCGTGTATCCTGGATTATCTCCTGCACTTGAAGGACCAGTGCCTGGCGTTTGGTTCTCTCAAGGTCCATCTCGTGGCTATATTGGCTTTTCACCCCAGTGTTTCCAGGCGCTCGGTGTTTGTGCACCCCATCGTGGGATGTTTCCTGAAAGGTTTGGAGAAGATTCATCCCCGGATGAAGCCACCTGTTCCGGCCTGGGACCTTAATTTAATTTAGTTCTTTCTCGCTTCATGGGTCCTCTTTTCGAGCCATTAGCTTCCGGTTCACTCCTTTATCTCTCTTGGAAGGTTGCTTTTTTGGTGGCCATCACCTCGGCATGACGCATGTCTCAGCTGGGGGCGCTCACATCTCAGCCTCTGTACACTATTTTTCATAAGGACAAGGTGCAGCTTAGACCTCACCCTGCCTTTCTTCCCAAAGTCGTGTCCTGCTTTCATGTTAGCCAGGACATTTTTCTGACAGTTTTTTATCCAAAGCAACACTCCAGTCCTCATGAAGAGCAGCTGCATTGGCTGGACATTAGAAGGGCGCTCGCCTTCTATACTGACCGAATGAAGCCTTTCCGCAAAACAACCCAGTTGTTCGTCGCTTTAGCAGAGCGGATGAAAAGTCTTCCAGTCTATTGAAGTCTCGTTGACAGCCTTCCTGGCCCACATACCTCTTCAGGAAATTTGCAGGGCTGCCACGTAGTCTTCAGTGCACACCTTTACGTCACACTCCGCCATCGTTCACCAATCTCAGGACAATGCGGCCTTCAGAAGAGCAGTGCTTCGATCTGCAATACCTTGACTCCGACCCCACCTCCGAGGTAAGGCTTGGGAGTCACCTAACTGGAATTGATATGAGCAAACACTCGAAGAAGAAAAACGATTAGTCACCCTTTTTGTAACTGTTGTTCTTCGAGATGTGTTGCTCATATCTATTCCATTCTCCCTCCCATCTGTCAGAGTTGCTGGAAAGAAGGAACTGAAGGGGGGTGGGGTCAGCAGGGTCGTATATTGAACGCCATATCTGCGCCACTCCAGGGGGCTCCACAGCCGGCCCGATGGGTAGCTGCTAGAGAAAAGTTTCTGACACCCGTGCACGCTGTGCACGCACACACCTAACTGGAATAGATATGAGCAACAAATCTCGAAGAACAACAGTTACAAAAAGGATGAGGAACCGTTTTTTTCTTCACTTCACCAGGGGGGTATTATAGTTTTAAGAACGTTTGATAGAGATCCTGTAGGTGTTTGTCTCTGTCTGAGGGATTGGAGCAAATGCGGTTGTATCTTAGAGTTTGGCTGTATACAATGGATCGTGTGATGTAATCTGGATGAAAGCTGGAGGCATGTAGGTAAGTATAGCGGTAAATAGGTTTCCGGTATAGTGTGGTGTTTGTGACCATAGCTTATTTGCACTGTAATGTGCAGGAAGTGGATCTCTTGTATGGACTGGTCCAGGCTGAGATTGATGGTGGGGTGGAAATTGTTGAAATTCAGTTCCACTGAACAGTGGTATAGGGTGAGTTGTATGATGAACAAAAATGAGTTAATTTTATCTTCACAATTACTTCTTCAGTTTTCTTTTTCAGTATTGTTCTAATTGCTAAAATGAAGTTGAAATTGGCACTTAGCAGCAGAACAGTACTGCTATTCTCAATAGGTACACCTTATCTTCATCTAGAAGCCTCATTGGAAAAGGACTGGCCTTGCTTCATAAATAGAAGCTGCATGTGGTGATGGAAAGAGTAGTACGTGGAGGTTCTATCCTTCAAATTATGGAAGACATCCTGAACATATGAGGTTCTGTTCTTAAATCACATCTAGTATAGGCTGCAATAGAAATCTGTGTGGAAAACTTTTGGGAAACCAAAATTGTCAAGACCTTAGTCTAGATTAGTGATCTTCCGAAATAAGTTAACTTGATTTTCACTGATTTTGTTTGTAGGCCAAAGGGGAGTAGAAAGAATGCCCCCTCCCACCCCCAACACTGAAATGTTAATGTTTTGGCAGCAATACTTTTGACTAGTAGCCTTACAAATTGTGTCCCTTCCCTTATCTATGCCAAATTTTAGCTGCAATATGTCATTTGTAATTATATAAACATTTTTAAATAGAAATTTATAGGGAACGGAGTTGGCAACACTTTATCTTCAACAACGAATATGTACATTCACCGATGGTTTGCTTACCCTTTGCTTAAGCTAATGCATAATCACTACTAGGAACTTCATTTGTAATCCCATCATGAAACTAGAAGGGTTGCATGTGGACTGAATATTGAATTGTGGATAAGACAGAATCTTACCAAAGGACTTAACATTGCTGGGTAGTATCTTTACATCTCAGTGTTGGGAGCCATGTAGCTCCCAAACTATTTAAGGTACATTGTGTAGGAATATTAGGAGCTAGATGAGGAAATCCTAATATTAAAAGCAATTGAAATAAAAACACAAGTGATTTTTACCTTTTGAGTTACCTGAAGTTACTACTCTGGCTTTTATTGTGATTGTTCACTTCCCTCTTCCCTACACTGAGCTTGGGAGTCTGCCTATATCAGTATGTCACCTTTTATCAGTATATGTGATTCTCTATGGTTTTCAATATTATTAACTTATAAGAATCTTAAATTAATATAAATCTTACAGATCCTTTTGGGCCCAGGATTAATTGTATAGTATAGTGTGGGCACTATTGTTATAAGAATAAGTTATATTACTTCTGCCAACATCCTTACTAAAATAGATTCACAAGATTGGAAAGTTAATTTTTTACCTGAAATTTTGATTACCTACAAAAGGGGAATTTTAAAAGTTAAGAGGATTTTTAGTTTTATCTGTCACTATTTCCTCCTCCCCCCCCCCCCCCCACTGCTCCCCATTTAGCCTCTACTATTAATGTTCCAGGCTCTGCACACTCGTATAGAAATCTCTGCATCATTTAAACACTTGCATATGTGTACTAACATAGAAATGCCTATAGATGAATCAATGAACAAATATCCTGCCATCAGCTGTCTCCTCATTAGTGTTCTACTAGTCTCCTTTTGTCTTTTAGTCTCTCCTTTTCTCACTTCTGAAGCATATAGCCAGAATTAGAGGCTGAGCACTAATAAAGGGAGTGTTCCTTGCTCTTGAGAACAAGAGAACTGGTTTTTGGCTCCTTACTTGACAATTAGTGCTTAAGGGAGAGGAGTAGACCAGAAAATTTTGTTTGTGCAGCACTCCTCACCAAATCAGGATTGGAAGAAAATGTAGAACAAGAGTTGGAGCAAGGAGTAGGTTCAGAAGAGATTGGTTTTTTCTTTTTTTAAGTGGGGTTTATATGTGAGAAGGTGTAGAAAGCAAAGCAAGAGAAACAGAATTGAGCCACCTTCAGCACCCAACATATTTCCCTCAAGCCTCTGGCTGGAACTTGATAGTTCTGTATGTCTTCAGTTTATATTAAAGGGTTTATATTATGTCTGCAGTCACCAAAGTGAATACTATAATAATACTATAGCAAGGAATTAATTTTATAATGTTCAAAAACAGATGATGTATTAGGATGAGCATGCTTTATGTGTTGTTCTGTATAATGTGTGTTACCTGAATACAGTTCAGAAAGTAGAAATAGAAAATCGAAGTAAAAAGATGAAGGACTGAAAAGTGTTTTCATAATGTATAATTGCTCTTTGGATCCAATTGAGATTTATCTTACTAATGTAGTTATTGTTTGCTTTTCTTTCAGTCGTCCTTTATCTTCTAAATGGTCCACAGCCAGCCCAGCAAGTATAGCTGGCAGAGGTATGCTCTCATTGCTATACAAATAGACTTGTTTCTTACAAATTGACCATCTAGGAAGTTATGTTCATATTTTAAATTAGACTTAGCCATAATTTAAGATTTTTTGTATTTTTCTGTGTTTATTCTGATACAGAATTGCATTATTATATGCGTTGATACTAGTTCTACCTATAGTTAAGACTATCAGTTTCCATTGTAAGACCCTGTTTTTCCTGTTATATATAACCTTGGCATATTCAGCTGTTTGGGCTGAAATTTTCTGTGGTGGGTTGGAATTTATTTTTCAGGTAAAATAGTTCAGCCATTTCAGAGAACAAGATTAAGGAAAAATACATAATTTTTTTTCCTTAAAAAAAAATCCTAAATCTATATAATAGAGAAGCTCTAGTGCCTCTGTGCTTTGGAACAGGGACTTGAATTTTGTCAGGGGGATCAGCTTGATGCCAGGGATGTACCTTTTTGTCCCTGTGAAAATTCATCCAAAATTGGCCAAGGTCTCAGCCTCTGAAAAATCTCAGTTCTCCCTTGCTCAATAGAAATGTATTAGAGTTTGGCAGGTAAATTCTCAGAAGATTGTTCTGGGTATGCTCTAGTGTGGGACTGTAGTGGCTGAGCAAGACTTTTCCTGCAGTTGCTCCTTCTGGTTGTTGTGGTTCCAGACTCAAGAATGGAGAACGGGGAGAGTCAGTGATGAGGAGAAAGAGAAATGAGCCTGATTGGACTGCAGAGAGGGTTGCAGGGGCTGAGAAGTAGGGGGGAAAGCGGAGAGAGGCTAGGAGCTCCACGGGGGAAAGGGGTAAGCAGAGAGTGAGGAAAGGACAGGAGTCTGAGAGGGTGGATAAGAGCAGAAGGGTTTATAACCACTAAGAAACACTCTTCAGCACCTGTAATGGAACCCAGAATTTGAATCATAACACTGTTCTGCTGTCAGCAAACAGCTGTCAAACCCATTTGTAAAGTCTCTGTCTTGTCCTCCTCTAATAACAGCCTACTGCTACCATTAGCAGTTGTTCCATTAGCTCAAGTGGTAGAGATCTAAAGATCCTAACCTTCTAGGTGATCCATTTGGGGATCAGTATGGTTCCACGTGAAATAATTTGCCTTTTTAAATTGTTAGCTATTTATTACCAATGATCCTTTGCTAATCTTGGGGTTTCTTAGGAAAAATGGTAACACTCAGAGAAATGCAAAAATCAATCTCTCATCAGCTAATAGCCATTAGACTACTAATAGTCTGTTACTGGAAAAGAGAGACAGTCCAGAACTGAAGGAATTGTTCTCCCAAAATATGGGAGGATATAGAAGAATGAACACATCAATTATGTATGTACCCAGCAAAAATGGACCCTTAGATATGTGGCTACCATTTATTCAATGCTCAAAGTAAGTTTGCCTGCCCCAAAAAAATGCACACCTGCCAGTTGTTTTAATATTAACGTTTGATAGACAAATCTGATTTGATAAATATGAGCAGTCAGTAGTTTCATTCAGTTTAATAAAGTTACCAGAAATAACACATCCTGGATAGTATAAGGAGTAATAAGGTAGCATAAGGATTATATTGCTGCATAATTTTTCTCTAAACAAAAAAACCCCCTCACTATTGTAATTATCTGTTTGTTTCTGATATTTACATGACCATGATTTGTAAACCAGTTAAACTTCCTAAATAAATAAATAGATATTAAAAAAAACACACACACACAAAAAAATAACACTACTGTCCTCTATTAGGTTGAAACTGTAAAGTTCAAAAGGTAGTTAAATGCAAGAATTGAAGTTACCTGTGCAACCTTAATTCACCATCTTGTGTGTATGCATTGATAAGAATCTCATACTATTCTTTTATACAGGACCGCTGCATCATTCAGTGAGCAAGATGGACCTCATCAGGGAATAAGTCAGGGCTGTGTAGTGAATGAGACTGTTGTCTCTAGGACTTTTGCTTAATCTATTGCAGAAATTGGAAGGGTGTTTTGAGTGAGGCAGGAGACTAAGGAAGAGAAAGGATGGTCTCATAGGCCAGGTAGTTGAATTGTGCCCTGGAAAATCAAATTCTATGCCTGTTTCTGTCACAGAGATCCTATTTGATGCTGTCTAAATCACTTAAACCACACCTTTTTTACAGGTGGCCATTAACTGTGTTTCTCATTTTCTGGATGCCAAACTTGAGACCCTCCGGTCTGATTTGCAGAAATGCTGAGCACTCACAGCCATAAGTGAAGAGAACTAGAGCTGTGTTATGAACATATAAAGTGCTAGAAAAATGCTAAGTACTCTTAAAAATCTGGTTCTGGTTGCATCAAGTTGGGCATTTTAAATAAGTGGACAAATTTGTCCTAATCTCTTTGCCTCAGTTCTTCAGTTGTAAACTGGAGATGATAATACCATCTAATCTCACAGATAATGTGAAGATAAATTAATGTTTATGAAGCACTTGGATACTATGATGAATGGACCACAGAACTGCTTATGTGGAAATTATGGGGAGGGATAACTCAGTGGTTTGAGCATTGGCCTGCTAAACTCAGGGTTGTGAGTTCAATCCTTGAGGGGGCCACTTAGGCATCTAGAGCAAAAATCAGTACTTGGTCCTGCTAGTGAAGGCAGGGGGCTGGACTCGATGACCTTTCGAGGTCCCTTCCAGTTCTAGGAGACAGGTATATCTCAATATATTATTATTATTAAATGATTTTGTACTTCGTGCATGGGGTAGGAAGATGGAATGGTGTGTATTAAATAAGGCGTGGGACAAGGTATTGAATGAGGAAGATAAAATAAACGAATGATCCCCCTTCCCTGAGCACTATCTATTCTATGCACTGAATGAGGCAGGGGTCCTACTGGAAAAAATAGTATGTTATTCTGTAATTAAAGATTATATCATAATACATGCACACAGAGGGGCCGAATTAAGGTTGCACCGGCAATCACAATTCTGTCATTTTAGTATCTTTTGGGGGCTTGATTTTTTCAACCTTAGCCTTCTGTTAATATAGTTACTTTATATTTTACATTATATAGGATTGTATTGAATGTATTGAATCAAGTTAACCTTATGGTTTATAAGACCATATACTGAATAGAGATGGAAAATCTTAGCCAAACTTTTGATAATAAGTGGGCTTAATATAGATTTGATTTTACCATCTTTACTCTTTTTAGTTTCAGGAAGTAGCAGCAAGACTGCTCCAAGTCCAGGAACACTGCAGAGGTCCCGCAGTGACATTGATGTTAATGCTGCTGCAGGTGCAAAGGCACGCCATGCTGCTGGACAGCCAACAGGAGCTGGGCGCTTGTCTGCTGCTGGTCTACCTCCTGGATCCTATGCTTCACTAGGTGAGAGATCCTGGCTTACTGTAAACTGTTTCTTGGAGTTCATAGAAAGCAAATAGTAATGAAAAAATACTTCCTTTATTGGAAAGTATTGTGTATGGATATTTGGTGCACTCATAATAGTAGTACTTAGGCATCAAATGCTTGAATTAAGGGGCATCAGTATTGTCTGACTAGGAGTTACTGTCTTGGCTCCCCTTTTTGATTATACTGTCTTTGTATGGAGGATTTTAAGAGAGAGCTAATTTTGAGGCATGGAGGTGTTCTGGATCCTTTAGAGCTTCCTTTATTGAGGAAGAAGGCCAGTGCAAAGAGTGTCTTCATTATGCTCTTAAAATACATGAGAGACTCTCATTTGATCTCTGGCAACAGATAAACAGAAGGGAGCAGTCATGGTTTCTGCCAATTTTAGAGGCAATATTCTAGTCACCATTAGAAATCTCAAATTCCCATTTTATTAAAAAAAAATCTAAAATACTTTTGTAGCTAAGGCATGGTGAAATGTTTCAAGATATATAAAATGGTTTCAGTATTCCAAATTTGTCACTGTTTTGTACAACTGTGTACATTGTTGGTTTGGAAGAGTTCTTCATAGGTTTTCCAGCACTGCTGTGTATATTTTTACCTAAGTTGCATTTTTGTTGATGAGTAACATTACTTCTGTTAGACATAAGAAGTGCTACCATGATATCTGTCTGAGGAGAGGTCTCTTACTGGTAGCACTTCTGGTGTTAGATGCTGGAACTGTTGCAAACTCCAGACATGAACTCTGAGTCATAATCTGTCCATGCTCTTCTTCAGGGCTCAAGGCAAGGCTGAGATTTAGCCTTAACTCTACAACCATTGTGGTAGGGAAGAGCAAAGGAAAAAGGCATGGTAGAGACAGAAGAAAGAAAGAGAAATGGTCAAATTAAAATACCATTGGAAGAAGAGATAGAGAATAACAAAAAGTTATCCTACCTATGATAAAGTGAAAGGATTACTTTGGTCTTTTGTTAAGTTAAACAGAAAAAAACAAATTTTTGGTTAGAACAGTGTTGTGCTTTCAGAACATATAAAGGACTACATATTTCATTCCCAACACCTCCTAGATAGGAGTTTAAAAGAACACCCACATTTTCAAGAGGGTAAATGCTGGCAGTTGTATGCAGGGGAATGACTTGGAGGAGGATTTACTCATGCTGTTAGTTTCATAGCTAATTTTTATGGGATGCATTCGGGACCCGTTCCAACATATTCTTTAAATCTTGCTTTGATTAGCTGGTAAGTATTGTCTCGCTGGCAACTGTCGTTTGGATCCCCCCCCCCTTTTTTTTTTAAGTTATCCCTTTGTGACATACCTGGGGCACAATCCAGACTAATCAGTAGCTGCCCTCTAATGTGGGGTGCCCTTTACAATGGTTTGCTGCTGTAGCCTCCAGCTCAGAGACTGCTCACAATCAGTCTCCAGCATGTAAGTCACTCCCAGCTGTGTGTACTGCAGCCAGTCAGCCACACCTTGGCTCTTACCAGCCTAGGTTATACTGCAGGGTGACCCCAACACACTCCTAGTCTTAGATTTCCCCCTAGAAATATATGTCCTGTACTGCCCAGTTCTCTCCTGGACAATCCAAATTTATATAAAATCCATTATTCCACCCCAAATGGAATTTCCCAGACACTTCATTTTAAACACATTGGATTAGATTAAAAAAAGAAACCCACAAATTTATTAACTACAAAGAGAGAGATTTTAAGTGAGTACAAGTAGTGAAGCATAAAAGTCAGAAATGTTTACAAGAAAAATAAGATAAAATGCAACTGGTGCCTAACTTAACAAACTATGTTAAATTCAAAGGAAAGTTTTCTCACCACATGCCTTCAGCAATCTCACTGACCAAACTTCTTAGCCAGCACCCCTTCTCCCAGAGTCCAACAAATGCTTCTTTTGTCACTTCTGGTGCCGTGAATGTGATGGGCAGGGAGAAAAAGAAGGGTGCGTTGGGGTGTTTGTCCCTCCTTTTTGTAGTTGCTGTTCCCCTTTTGAAAAACATTTCCCGCTGGGTATCAGGACGCAAAAGGCTATGGGGAAGGGTTTCAATTTCCTTTGTTTCACTTCCTGCTTGATGGCTCTGTTTACTGCTTAACTGAAAATTAAGTAAAGCACACGTTCCTTTGTTTGAGACAGACCTGTTTGCCAACCTCAGTTTGGAACGTGTTAATAACACCACACGGTGGAATCTTATAACTTCCCATGCAGTGTTGCCACAAACATTTTATCTGGACAATAATGACCAGCGAATTGAGTTTTCAAATGATAGTTCACAAGACATACATTGTACAAAGATTATTACAATGATGTGTAGGGTGTGGACACGGGTACATTCTGTCACACCACCTTAGATTAAAATGGAAAAAATGAACATTGAGATGTATGTTTGATGGAAGAATTCCAATAATACTGTTTGCGACATTGGTCTGGGGGGTTAAAGGTAAAACAGAATGAGTGTACATTAGTCCAAATGGAATAGCTATTATTTTGTACTATTCTCTTTCTCCGAATGATTAGTGTAGTGTTATCTAATAATGCAAATTAGAAAGAGTTCTTATAATCAAAAAATAATTGTAAAAAGATTGTTTCGGCCCTTTCTTTGTGTTCTGGTAGTGCCACACAATAGATTCAATTAATAAGAAAACTTATACAAGAAATATAATTTAAAATTCTACATATTTTTATTTTTGTCTGTGGTATCACATTCTTATTTATGGTCTGTCTAAATCTGCGTAGTATCATAATAGCACTAATAGACTGAGGTATTTGAGTTTATTATGGTATCTTTGTACTTTTAAAAAATATAGTGTTTATAAACTGAAAATGTAGCAGTATTAGAATTGTGAAGGAAAGAAGGGATATGGGGAGAGTAAGAAAAATGTACCACATACTGCAAAATATTTTTTCTTTACTGTTCTCAGCATATAATTACAGTTATACATATTTTTATTTTCCTTTTGTCACATGTATGGCTCCATCAGGAGCTCTTTAATGACCTGAAAACTAAAAGGAATCCTTCAGTAAATGGATTTGTCAATGTAATTTCCTTGTTTGACAGGGTTACTGGTATAGCAGATAGGCAGGAAGCAGTAGACAAGATCTTGATTTTTAGTAAGGCTTTTGATACAGTCCCACATAATGTTCTCATAAGCAAATTAGGGAAATGTGTCTAGATGGAGGTGGGTGCACAGGTTGGTTGATAAACCATTTTCTCAGTGGTTCTCAGTCAAATTGGAGAGGGCGTATCTAGTGGTGTCCCACAGGGATAGTCCTGGGTCTGGTCCTATTCAATATTTTCATTAATGACCACGATAATGTAGTGGAGTGTGTGCTTATAAAATTTGCAGGTGACACGAGGCTGGGAGGGGTTGCAAGCACTTTGAAGGAAGGATTTAGAATTCAAAATAACCTTGATAAATTAGAGAACTGGCCTAAAATCAGCAAGCTGAAATTCAGTAAAGACAAGTGCAGAGTACTACACTTAAGAGCTCTGGGACCCTCCCACACCACAGGGTCCACCCAAGCTCGACCGTCCACACAGCAATTAAATAGCTCCGCATCCTGAGCGCCATGAGCCTGAGTCAGCTAGCAAGGTCCAGCCCTGGGGGTTTAGTTGCTGTGTAGATGTACTGTATAAGGAAGTTAAACCCTGGAATTAGGTTTCCAAGGGTAGTTGTGGAAGCCCTGCCTTTGGAGGTTTTTAAGAACAAGTTGGTCAGGGATGGTCTAGGTTTACTTAAGCCTTCCTCAGTGCAGAGGATGGATTTGATAACCTCTTGAAGCCCCCTTTTCTGTGCTTCTGTAAAATATTAAGATAATACTGTCTACTTTTTATGTTTTAATTTTATTTCATTCTGCTTTTTTTTACAATCACCTCTTAAAATAAAATGTTTTTCAAGAAATTACCATTTCTGGGTCTGTGCTTGCAGCATGACTGATAAGAATTTCTCAAGATTCAGAATTCTAAAACTTATGTAAACTACTGCAACAGTGGGTGGTATGTGCCTGCCCCTGCTAAAGATGTGTGGTCTGGGACCCATATATTTGTTAGCTGTGGATTCACCATAGAATCTACTTTGCAGAAAGGTGCTCCAGACGCTCAGCTCTTAAAAATAAATAATCTAGTACTCTTAGTTAAGAAGATACCCTTGAAAATATGAACTGAGTGTAAACTGAAGCAACGTAGCATGCCAGAATGTGCTGGCAGCATGAAACAGTACTGAGTAAACTGTCCCTTTTGTCCCTTTCATCTCAATGGGGTTGTTGAAACCTAAAATGACTGTTTAAATGGGCAAAATTGTTAATTATTTCAGTGCTGAGCATCTTACCAGAAATGTCCTACAAATGTGCTTATCCTGCTTCCAGTTTGGTTTCCATATCTTTCCATGTGGAGAGTTTAATATCAAAATAAATACCAAGGCCACTGTACTGATAGTGTTGTTCGTGTTCATATTTAATTATAAACCTTTTAAAAAATTTAAAGTAGCTGTAGAAATCAGGACCAACTTATCAGAGCACACAGGTCTCTACTTACCTCTACCTGTCATTGCTTGTTTGTTATTGATGAAAAAGCATCTCCCCTGTGCTGTTACTGCATTAGAACTTATATTTGTTTTTGTAGCTATTGAATCAGGAAGACATTCTCTGCCAGACTTTAGTCATTTTAAGGTTAGTTCTGTTTTGAGGCCTGAAATTACTAGCATCCTTATAAGCAACATTCAGCGGATTATACATATCTCACTAGTACAGGGGTTCTCACAACACATTTTTTGGCAGCCTCAGAGTGCAGCCACCAACTCTGCTTGGTGGCCGCTCTGACAATTTTTTTCCTAAAATACTTAATTACCTTTAGGAAAAACAAATAAATATGCATATTTACATGTCCAAAATCATTGTAATTGATTGCTGTAGGGTTTTTTGTAGACTCAATAGTAAAAATAATTATATTACAGTTATATTTTGGTGCCCCTGGCCCCCACTGCTTCCCCCCATTGCCTCGAGCTCCCTTCCATGGTCTCAGACCCTGGGCTCATCCCACTTCTTGCCTCTGGACCACAGCGCCTGGTAAGGCTGGGCCCTGTAAAAGCCCAGAGCTAGAGCCCCATGGCTGGAGTCGGCGGTGGGCTGAAGCCCTGAGCCCATAGGCAGAGCCCTGCTACTGTGGGGAGACTGAAACCCAAAGCCCTGAAGTTGGGGGGAAGGGGGCGCTGAAGCCCACCTTAGGAGGCCTGCAGAGTCTTGCAGCTGCCACTGGGTGAGGGGGGATTATAGCCTGTTGCCCAAGCCTCTGGCTGAACTGTGGAGGGGGGGCGGGGGCTGAAGCCCACCCTTGAGCGCTGCAGGGAGGGGCCACTGCTTTGTCCCTCCCCTACCTCTGCACAAGAGGCTGTTGTGACTGCAGGAAAAACCCCTGGTGGCCGCTTGTGGCCACGGCGGCTGCATTTGAGAAACACTGCACTAGTAAGTACTGTAGTGGTACTCAGCCTTTATTTTGCTTGTATTATACTCAAAATCTGTGTACTCCTTTTCTTGCAATACACACTCCATGCCAAATGACTAGAAAAATCTTGAATTGCTTAAGCTATACATACTAGTCGCCCTTCCTTTTTTTCTGTCTTTATTGTGCTGTCCTGTTTGTTTTTCTTAAATTTCTACTGCCTCCCCCTTTGAGGCTTCAAGTTAAGTGGTAGAATTTCAGAAGTGGGGTCATAGTGGTTCAGTAACACTATAAATGTATCTAAATTTGAATTCTTATGGACTATTGAGCACCAAGCAATTAATGTATCCTGAAAAAGTTCATAACCTTTGCTTCCAGGGTTTGCTCAAATCTAGATAATGCAAATAGGTTCCACATCTTTTTTTTTTTTGGTTGGGTGGGTGGGTGGGGTCTTGTACCCTATCTTATATTAGGTTGGGAACCACTAACTTTTCTAAAGTTTACACAAATGAATTAGATCTACAAATGTCTTCAGTGTTTACTATTAATATAGTTTCTTTAATGAATGTTTTATGACTGTTATGAATGTCTTTATTCTAACACACTAAGTTTTCCCTGTTTCTTTGCTTGCTCTTTCAACAAAGAGGATACTTCTGACAAGATGGATGGTAAGAACTTGTTTTGTCTGCCTTCTTCTAATCCTATTAAAATATCTTTTGAAATTACATTTCATGTAAAGTACTTCATGTTTGTACTACACACCTTTATTGATCAATATGTAAAATGTCTTCATTAACCCCTCTGTACACTAATTTTAGACTTAAAGTGGTTGTCTTTCAAATTACTGTAGTTGTCAATATATCTTGATGTTATGGATGTCAGGTATCCAGCTTTAAAAGAAACTTTGTTTATCTTTAATCGAATGTTATTTCCATAATGACCAATAATATTATGAATAGAAGCTTTTGTCCTTCTTTATTTAGACGCCGACTTTACCAGCTAGGGTACCATCAACTTGAAAACTTAATCTTGAAAGTTTTGTATATGCCACTGTGAAAAGTTTTTGTATTTGGCGGTACCTTTGTGTTTCAGAGGTTCTGGGGTTTCATAATTTCTCCTGTATTGTCAGTCAGTTTCTTTTTTGCGGAGAAGACCTTTATAAACATCAATAAGGGAACAGAAAATTATTGTAAAATATTTTAGATCTTTTAAAAATCAGATGCATTATGTAAAGAGTGCTCTTGTAAGAACCTAGATTTTAAAATAGTCAAATTAGGAGACGTTTAACAAGACACTGTCAACTTTCATCAATTTAATTATTTTTAAAGATAATTATTGCTGAGTAGGCCTTCATTCATGGATTACATAGCCTCCAGCATGTTTAACAGAATGTTTTAAAGATTTATAGACTTTCCCTCAAATAGCATTTTAGTATTTATTTGTTCTATCTGTATATTAAACAATCTTTAGCTAGTTGTCAGCTATATCTCCTGTCATAATTGAAAAGGCCTTCTGAGAAGCAGCATTCCTCTAGCAATTGTTACTATGCTACAGCTAGATGCTTCCAATAAGTAGCTATAACTAGTGCTTCATCTGCTTCCTGCCTTGCCATAATAGCTGAGTTTGATATTTGCCCAAGGATATTAGCATTGGCCATGTTGGCTTGAAAGATGCTGAAATCTATATAAACTTTTGTCACATGTATTGTAACAATATCCTAGTGTTTAGAAAAATGAAGAACAATAGCTACTGTCAACAAAGCAGGCACCATTCCCTACCATCATCCCTATCTTTTTATCCATTGAGTCAGATGAGCAAATAATCATATTAAATGCACACTCATTCTGAACCACATTGTAAAGGCCATCAGAGTTTAGCAGACCTCAAGAGGGTTTGAATTCCAGAACCAAGGTCTCCATTGAAAATGCAGTTAGGTGGCACACAGGAGAAAAGATTTTTAAAATACCAGAATCCCAAATCATTTGAAGAATTATGGATAACCAGCATGGTGCATTCACTTTGCAGCTAATTGTAAGCCAGTAAAGATCATGGAGTACAAGTGATGTTTTTCAAGTGGCTTTGCATATTCCCATTTATGGGTGTTGCACCCATTTGTGTTGCCTTGCAGTAGAATCCGCTTGCAGGAGTATCAGCTAGAGCAGGGATGACCAACCTGAGCCAGAATTTACCAATGTACATTGCCAAAGAGCCAAAGTAATACGCCAGCAGCCCCCCCATCAGCTCACCCCCTGGCTCCCAGTGCCTCCTGCCCACCGGCAGCTCCACCAATCAGCGCCTTCCCCTCCCTCGTCACACCTCCTGATCAGCTGTTTTGTGATGTGCAGGGGACTCGGGGCAGGGAGGAGTGAGGGAATAGTAGCCTCAGGGGAGGGGGCAGGAAGGGGTGGAGTGTGGACAAAGCCAGGGTTTGAGCAATGAGCATCCCCTGGCACATTGGAAAGTTGGTGCCTGTAGCTCCAGCCCCGGAGTCGGTGCCTATACAAGGAGCCGCATATTAACTTCTGAAGAGCCGCATGTGGCTCCGGAGCCACAGGTTGGTCACTCCTGAGCTAGAGTGCTCTTTCACCCCTCCAGTTGGCATCCTGATGCCCTAAGGTGGAGGCTATAAAAGGGTTGGAGTGCCCTTCTCACCTCTGTTCCTTCCAATCACATGCCAGGACAGATGTGAACCCTCCAGTTCCTTGAAGCCAAGAGTTTTCTCTTCAAAGTTAGTTAGTGTTAGCTTTCAGTTAGCTACTAACAGTTAGGGTACTTCCCCAGTTCTGAGGAATGGTGGAATTGAGGAAGCCAAAGGAACCTGATTTAAGAGATGCGCTTCCTGTCCAGCCATTTTCCTGGTATCAGATGAGATGTCCCTGAAGCGTCTATGTGAAGACCACTCACCATCTGGGTGTTTGATTTGCCAGACCTTCACCCCCAGAGCCCTCCAGGATGGGGAGATTCGTCTCCAACTACTGCTTTAAGGAGGCCTTTAAGGTTAGACCTTCTTAAGATTAGACTTTGCTTCCAGGGACTACTAACCTCTGCGCTGGTGGTCGCTGGTGGCTCCAGCAGACTGCAGGGTTCCAAAAAGCCACATCCTCTGTTGGGGCTGGACTTGGTTCCTGTGCCTCTCCTCTTCAAACCTCCAAGGACATATGTGCCTAAATCAAGGCCTATGTGATCACATCCCTCCACCTCACTTATAGAGAAAATGTCAAGGACCAGTCTGCACCCTCACCAGTGCAGTATTTCATGCCTTACAATAGTCTAACTCTGACTGGGCCCCCACAGCTGCAGAATTGGCTCCAACTATATCTTCCAGATTCTGGAAGATGGACATGAGTGGTACCTGTGAACAAGGACCATCAGCCTGAGATGCTGTGGCACCGAGGAAAAAGCAGCATAGGAGCAAGACTGCCAATGTTAGCAGTGCCAGTTCCCATGCATCAGAGTTCTCGGTTATGCTTATTTCAGATAACACTGCTATGGTTCCTAAGTGGAGATCAGCCCCATCCCCAGTCACAGCAGTGAGGGAGATTAGCCCATGTGGACCATTGGATTCGGTGTCATAGCAGACCTTGCTCCTGTCTTGACCCCAAGTACTTCCTTAGTTCTGAAGAGTTCCGCCACGGTGATGGCCCTAGTCCACCCTCTACCTGTGGAGCATGTCTCGGATCTGGCTTTGAAGTGCATGGCACACAAGAGGGGAGGCATGTGCCTTCAGTTCCTGGATCCTCACCTTTATCTCCAGTTATGAATTTGCGAGATTAGGCAGGGTAGCTCCATCAGCGTGCAAACCACCTCAAGTAAGTGCAGGTGCCATTGCTGCATAGTTGATTGCCAGCACCCGTGTGCCAATGAATAAAAACATAAGGCAGCAAGTCCACAAACAACTTTACTGCTCAGTAAAGTAGTGCCAGTTGTATTCACCCCTTTCTGCCCATTAACAGTAGATGAAACGGACGAGGGTCTCCAACACTAAGCCCAGGAAAGCGGTAGGAATGGACAGAATATATCCAGAATTCCTGAAGAAACTGGGCCAGGTACTGGTCTTAACCAGCTACATAGAATCTGTGAAATCTATCAGTTAAAATTAGAAACAGCGGCAGCATCAATTGACCTTTCTTCTGCATATGATACTGTATGGCTCAAAGGTCTCTGAAGTTGGCATGGGAAAGCTAATGATAATGAGCAATACTCTCATCGTCAAGATGCCAGGTAATAGAAGATTCACTGTACATGTTGGTGAATCTGCTAGCAAATCACAGAGATTGAACAATGGCCTCCCACAAGGATCTGTTTTAGCACCTGCACTGTTCAGTCTCTATACCAGCGACATTCTGGTCACATAATCCCATAAATTCATCTATGCAGATAATATTGCACATTGCTCATGATGCCCCAGAACATTATAACCTCACTAGACTGGTTGCCAGACAGGACCAACGAGCTCAAAGGTGTGCAGTTCAATCCCTCAGATCCATCCCAGACAGTGATTTCATATGCATCATCCAAAGGTTGAGGGGATATTTGAACCACTTAATGGTTTAAGAACGTTTGTCTTCTCAAGGAAAGAACATTGCATCAGCGTACTGGAACTAAGAGCTGTTCCCCTGACCCTAAGATTGTTCTTCCCTCACTTTCAAGGGAAGGTCATGCAAGTAGTAGTGGACAAAATGTCAGCAGTGCATTATATCGTCAAACAGGTGGGTGCTCACTCCACCCCTTTTGCATTGGTGATAAAGCTATGGAATTGGTGCGTCTGCCATGACGTTTATGTAGCAGTACCTTTGGCCGGGGAAGACACTGTACAGTCAGGCCTCGATTTACACTGTGGTTATGTTCTTAAAAAAATACTGTGCAAATAGAAATCGTGTAAAAAAGATACTAAGGGTCTATGGGTTTAGGTTTCAGGCTCATAAGATGACCTCCCTAATTTATACAATACAGTATAGTACTACAGGTTTTATTAAAAACATTTAATGAAATTCAAACTTATTACAGTACAGGTACTAACCTTTATTCATGGTGAGGATGAACTTGATACAGTATCAGCATTATCATGTTGTTGAAGTCAGAACTCTGAGGGTTCATCTGGGGAGGCTGGGGAGTGTGGAGCAGTGAGATGGGCCCTGACTTCAGGTGGGTGGGCAATGACGGGATGGGGGAGGGGAAGCAAAAAGGATCGGGGCCGCTTCCACTCAGCCCCTCCAGCCGGCTGTGCGGGGGGCCATGGACACTCTGGGAAGAGGCCACCCAGGCATGCACCTGGGGCAGGTTGGAGCGCAGGGGCTTGCACCGCTCTGCCCAATTGCCTGGCGCTCCTGTGAGAGAGTGGGGTCGTGGGCTCACCCTACTCCTCCTGCCTGCACGGTGCTTCAGCTGGGGAGCGGGGTCCAGGGCTCGCCCTGCTCCTCCCAGCGCTGCAGATGGGGTGCGGGGTTGGGAGCTTGCCCTGCTCCGCCTCTTCCCCCTCCACCCCCGGTGTTCCTGCCGGGGAGCAGGGTTAGGGCACGGAGGCTTGCTTGCTCCCTGGCTGGAAGGCCAGGTGGGTGGAGCGGGGTAAGGCCCCCGACCCTGCTCCCCAGCTGGAGCGCTGGGCGGGCAGAGCGGGGCAAGCTCCCAACCCCGCTCCCCAGTAGGAGTGCCAGGTGGGCAGAGTGTG